ACCCTATAACTTTTCATTTTCCCTTTAGGGCATATGTGACATTCAATCGCTAATCTCTTGAATTGACAGGGACTGAATGTTGTGAACGCTTGGCCTACTATGGGATTGCTACCAATCTTGTTAGCTATCTTACCAAATATTTACATGAAGGAAATGTCTCTGCTGCTAGAAATGTGACCACGTGGCAAGGCACTTGCTACCTAACTCCCCTGATTGGGGCTGTCTTAGCAGATGCTTACTGGGGAAGATATTGGACAATTGCTGTCTTCTCCACTATATACTTTATTGTATTAATTCCTCTGATTTTTTTATCTTTCCAATTACTAGTTATATGAAAATATTACTGGCAGTACATGGTTGCACGATCTGATTATTTGTGCTTCAATGGCGGTTGGCAGCTCACAGACTCCATGTTCAACACTTTTTTGGTCCCTAACTCTAAATATAGGAATAGAAATAGATATTCACCCTTGTTATTTTTGTGTAAATGGAAAACATCCACGTGATCTTGTCCACTTCCTTCCTTCTCTTTATGCACCTTTATCACAATTATTTGAGTAGGAAAACAGTCTGCAGACCAAATGGTACTTCAATGAGAGTATACTTCAAAAGACATAGTAGCACATTCTCTTAGCCTTATTGGAGAATCTCTGGTATAAAAACTTAACCTTTATATCATTTCTTCAAAGTTTCAATCTCTCTTCTTACAGCACCGGTTATTCTAACCTATTAGAACGTGGTATTTGAGGACATGACTTTTTAGGATATTGGAGAGAATTATATGTTATTTGTGGGATAACATATTGTACCCTATCAATTAGAAAGAAGAATGTGAAAAAGATACAGCAATATAATGTAAAAGCTTGCTTGAAGTCATGAAGAGGACAAAAGGAATGGAAGCAGGATAATTTGACATGATAAACGAAGTGAAGAAAATGACGAAATAACTCTATAAGGACATTGATGCTCCTTCTACTATGAGCTTTGCATCTTAAAACAATGTTAACCTTGATGCTTACGGTTTTGAGTTATAAAGCTCTATATTTTTATTTTCTTACCCAAAAGGAGGGGCTGAAATCAATAACATTTTGAGTGCTAATTTGGATATCTTACATTAAACCATATTATGTGAATAGGTTATTCTACTTGCACCAGGAGTACATGAGTTTTTTCCTATATTTTTCTCATTGATTTACTGTTTCCATTGGTTCGTGAATCTCTTACCTTCTTTTGATCCTTTATATTAATTTGTCTGTGAAGGGAATGTGCACATTGACTCTGTCTGCATCTGTTCCTGCTTTTAAGCCTGCCGAATGTCTGGATTCCGTCTGCCCTTCAGCAACTCCCGCGCAGTATGCAGTATTTTTCTTTGGGCTATATCTAATAGCACTTGGAACAGGAGGGATCAAGCCATGCGTTTCATCTTTTGGGGCTGATCAGTTTGATGATACTGATTCTGAAGAGAGGGTTAAGAAGGGTTCCTTTTTCAATTGGTTTTATTTTTCCGTCAACATTGGTGCTTTGATATCAAGTAGTTTAATCGTGTGGATTCAAGATAATGCAGGATGGGGCCTTGGATTTGGCATTCCTGCAGTGTTTATGGGCATTGCCATAGTGAGTTTCTTTTCAGGTACCTCTCTTTACAGATTTCAGAAGCCAGGAGGAAGCCCTATAACCAGAATGTGCCAGGTTTTGGTTGCATCGTGCCACAAATGGAATTTGACCGTCCCTACTGAGAGTAGCCTCCTGTATGAGACATCAGATAAATGCTCTGCTATTGAAGGAAGTCGAAAACTGCTGCACACTGATGAATTAAAGTAAGGTTATTACATAACATCTAATTGCTTCTTGAACCTTCTAGCCCTGCTTTGTTTCCCTTAGATTCTTCCCCTTCATGCCTGTACTTTTTCCTGAGGGAAAAATTGTGTTTATTGTTCATTCATTTAGGAGTAATTGTACAGTCCATAATTGGAAAATGGTGGAATCTATGATTAACCAACACGGACACACGTGTTTGACACGACACGTTTTGGATACATCAACACATGATTTTTCAGAAAGTAATGACACACCACATTGCCGACACATCGATTAAATTCGTTAAATTTTTTTATTTATATAGCATAAGTATAGTTTTATACTTGTCATTAATTTTCTTGTTAAAATATTTTAAATATCAGTACATATTTGTTATTTATTAATAACTTTGAGTTAAAAATATGCAATATTTTTAATAAAAAAATGATGATTGTCTGAGTGTCATTATTTAACGCGTGTCGGATACGGACATGCTACCCTAGTTGAAAGTGAAGCCTTGGCCAGCCAGATGCATGCGTAGCATAGTCGTGGTGTAGAGACAAATTTTTATAATCCTGGAAAAGCCAATTTCACATTATTTAAACATTTTAATTTGAATGGCATTCTTCATCTGATTGGTATACATATCTTCTTCCTGTCAAGAGCTATATCTGTACTTTTTCTCCCTTTACATTTTTAGAATTGCTTAATGCATGATTGCTAACTGGAAACTATTTAGCAACTAATCAGTAAATGGTAATTTTATTTAAATACCCCTTTTGAGATTAAAATGCTATTTCTTTCTGAAAGGGAAAGGAATGCACAAATTAACTTGGCCATGGCTAAGTCCTCTTAGTCAATATTGTGTGAGAATATTTCTAACATGCAACATATGCTCTGAATACATTTATACATATCTATTTGAAATGAGACCCCTTCTGTTTGTAGTTATACTTTTTATATTGGCCAAAATAAATAATATCTTTTAGCTCGTCTATTTTTCTGGAAAACGGGATTCTAGCAAATCAAAAGCTCCTGTATCCTCCATTCAAAAACAGTGGAGAATTGAAGGGCATTCTGTGAAGATTCAGCTATCTGGTGAAGGCTATACTAATAAAACTCGTTAGTTTGTGTTTCTTTAATTTTATAATAATTTTGAATTTACCTTAAAAATTTCATTTTCATGAGCTGGAGGTTCATGGAATTCAATATCAAACTTGGGCCTATGCCTAGGTAAAGTTTGGCATGCCAACTTGGCTGGCCCTTCATTCTTATCATGTTAGGTTTTACTAGCATGTAAATGTCATGTTTTCATTTGCCAAGTAATGTAATTCAGATTGTGATTCTGTTAAAATCATGTTAGAAAAGTTTCCCATCTCCTTATGGTGTTCAACTTCTGTAGGTGCCTTGATAAAGCTGCTGTAGTCTCGGAGGGTGAAAGCAAAACTGGGGACTATTCTAATCCTTGGAAGCTTTGCACTGTAACACAGGTTGAAGAATTGAAGATCCTGATACGCATGTTTCCCATTTGGGCTACAGGAATAGTCTTCTCTGCTGTTTATGCTCAAATGTCAACCATGTTTGTAGAGCAAGGCATGGTGATGGACACTTCGATTGGTTCCTTTACTATACCAGCAGCCTCTCTTTCAACTTTTGACGTTATCAGTGTTATTTTCTGGGTTCCAGTGTACGATAAGGTCCTTGTACCAATTGCTAGAAGGGTTACTGGGAAGGGAAGGGGATTTTCAGAATTGCAACGGATGGGAATAGGACTTTTCATTTCAGTCTTGTGCATGGCAGCTGCTGCTGTTGTCGAGATCAAGCGACTGCAGCTTGCAAGGGAGCTCGGTTTGGTTGATGAAAATGTTGCTGTACCATTGAGTATTTTCTGGCAAATACCTCAATATTTCTTGTTGGGTGCCGCTGAAGTTTTTACTTTTATTGGGCAACTCGAGTTCTTCTATGACCAATCACCAGACGCCATGCGCAGTTTGTGTAGTGCCTTGTCATTGCTCACAACTTCTTTGGGAAATTATTTGAGCTCGTTTATTCTGACAGTAGTTACATCTTTAACAACGCGAGGGGGAAATCCTGGGTGGATTCCGGATAACTTGAACAAGGGTCATCTTGATTACTTCTATTGGCTCTTGGCTGGACTCAGCTTCGTCAACATGGTGGTCTACGTTTTCTGTGCCTAGATATTTAAATCAAAGAAAGCATCTTAAACTTTACGGTTCTCTGAATGAGCCTCTTTCTGGCTAGGATTTTACCTTCCAGCATCTGGGCATGACAATCGATTATCCTAGTTCTGATCTCTTCAGCATACCCTGAAGGATATTTGGAATATGAATCATGAAGAAATTTGCTTGTATTTTTTTAGATGATTATAAAGTATTTGACATACATAATAATGTAAATAGTTATAAATAATTTTACTTTAAAATTATATTTTATAAATGCAGTTTACAACCTCTCTAGTTCAATTGTGATGACAGAACAAGTTGCCTTTTATTTTCTTGGATAGAAACTGTCTTGGGAATTACACTCGCGTACATATGGACTATGATTTAGCCCCCCTTTGGTTCTGATTTTTCAAGTAAAAAATTCAATTTTTTGACTGGTACTTACTATAGTCAGTCGTTATTTTTTATCTCTTCACTCACAGATGGAAACCACATTTCAAGTTAACGGTCAAAAAATCAATTTTCATAATTAGCACCAAACAGGTCCTTAGTAACTAATGCAAACTTTGGTTGCTATCCAAACAAAATTACACACTTTCTACCCATCAATATGTATATGTATGGTCCCTTCTCGTTTATGTAGTCATGGATATCAAATTCCTCACGAAAGGGTTTAACATGTTATAACTCTGCTATCTAACTTTAGAGCCCGTTTAATGAGAAAACTATTTTAGTCCAGCTTTACCTAAAAAATCTTCAAATTACATAAGTAGCTTTTTAATTTCAAAAGCAACTTTTGACTTTTCCAAAACCATGCCAAACAGACTCTTTAGCTATCTTTATGATATTGAATCAATTTGTGACTGATTACGGTTAATATAAAAATTGGCTGAAATGAATGCCAGTAATATTTGAAACTGTATTAACAAACTAGAGCAACATCGACCAATTGCAATTTAGGAGAATCCAAGTTAATCAGGTATCATCGATAACATTAGAACCACCAAATTAAGAGAAATCTACAACTGAAACATTCGATTCTGGTATACGTTAAAAGGAATGTTTCCAGGATCATAAATCTCAACAGGATCAGATAAAACGATAAACAATAGGATTTAAGGTACACCTAATAAAGAGAGTTCTCGGTTCCAGGGAGTCGCCTGAAAATACTCCCGAATACATAATTTGAATGTTACAACAATTTTGTCTAGTTTCTCATCCGTAATGAATCAAATGTAGAATGTAAATCATTGTTTCTTAAGGCAAACTTGCTCGACCAGAGAGTAAGAGAGTCAAAGTACCATAGGGGAGTTATCTCCATTGTATGTGACTGCAAAAACAGTGAGAAATTGGGTTAAAACTTCATTTATTCAAAGAGAACTTGGACTATAACGCTACATAAAGTGAAGCATCATAACCTACGAAGCTACTACCTTTCTGGCGAAGTAGTATGTCAATTCTTATCTGCTCTCCTGTTGATAACACTACCCCTCCACTTGCTTATAGGCTCTTCTTCTTTTCTATGGTTCCTGCAACACGCTGTTGCCGCTTCCTCCAAGCCGGCATCTTACCAGGGAAGGCCCATCTCAAAAACCTTTCCCACGTGTAGCAACAAAGGAACATGAGCCAAGCCCAGATCATCAGTTTATCTCTCAATGCTCTTGGCAGAGGGACTAACTTCAGCCAATCATTCAAATCCCTGAATAAGTCGGAGGTTATAACAGTAAAAAAGCCAACAGCAGCCAGAAGGGCATACAAAAATGGTTTGTTTTCCAAGATGCTTTGGTTGAAAGGATGGCCCATGTAGTTCACAGCAAACGTGGCCACCTGTAGCATCATGCCCACCATGTACGAAACCGTATTCACAAGGTTGGGATGGAAATCTGAGTCCGGTTCAATACATTCATCTGGCATGTACCTTTCAGCCTCTTTCACGGAAGAAATTAAGAAGAAAAGGTGAACTGAAAATTGTCCTAGGAGAGAGAGGAAGACATAAGAGCAGAAGATATTGGGATGAGGCCGTTCAGCTGAGAGGGTAGGAAGGGGACGAGCATGCGAAATGAACAGAAAGAAAGCAGCTGTAAAAACTCCACTAATTGTGGCTTGAATGTCACCCAGTTTCACACCGTCCAAATTCATCACACTCAGAACGTAGGCAGTTGCAAGGCAATTGAGTCCAAGAATCTTGAACATTTGTAGGGTAGTGACTAGGGTACTTCTACCTTGACGGATTACATCCGTTGTAGGGGCAACCGAAGCATGCTTTGCAGTAAATGGTGATGCCATTGAGGCATCCCCAAGCTTAACAATGGGAGCTGATCGACCATCAGCCCCCTCTTCATTTAGCTCATTCATGAGTTTCTTCAGCTTTTCTCGTTGCATCTCTGCAGCAGTCAGATGGCGCTTAAAAGCTTGGTTGCCAGTAGATCCTAACCTTGAAACAGCTCTGCTCTTTGAAGGACCCTCTCCATTTTCAACTGCGGAATTGAGTTTCTTTGATTTACCAGATTTTGCAGTATCATTTTTAGAGGGTGCTTCAGAGGAAGATTTCTCCTTTTGAGCTGGAGGGATTGCATTGAGTAGAGCTACACCTATATGTGCCTGAGAAACATAAATAATATTATGTACTGCTCTAACTGGGGCATTTAAGTCAATAAAAGCTACAGATAAGAGAACAAATACAAAATAATTATTTATTTGAAGAAGTCCTAGCTATTAGAAAGGAGATACACAAAGGAATCTGAATTTCATCAAAAGCATGGAGTGAGAAAATAGATTCAGCAAGTAGTGACCATATATTGCAGAAAAAAAATTACTCCAGAATAAGTCTAATAGGCCAGAGTAAAATCAAATGGAACATTGAAGGAGGGAGTACTCAAGCATATTGGTAAGAAGAATGCCTGAGTTTAACTTGGTAATATATTAACAAGAAATGATAAACAATTTGCACTACAGTAAAACTATAAAAAAATAATAATATTGGAACAGAGGAAAGTTATTTCTTTTGAGGGGTTATTCATTATCAACAAATGAACAATTTATTATTTTATCAATAGATTTTGTGCTTTTTAGTTAACGCTACAAAAATATGATGGATGCCAAACACCTTTTGGAATATCGAAGTGAAAATGATAAGATCATGGAATAGCGTAATACTGAAAAAATTATTCCGGATATGCCTACCGAGAATGACCATGATTTAGACGATAGCTATGTTTACCAACTGTTTTTCAAAAAGAAACATTTCAAGCATTGTACCTTAAATATTACTTTATTATATATATAGTTTGCAAAAAATTAGGAATGAAGTTGAGTTCTGTTCAAGTACAACTTAAAAGTAATGAACATTAAATGCATATTTTACAGAAAAAAAAAAAATATAGTTGTCAATTAAAAAGTTCATTATATTAATTATAACTATAAAACTTTACGTATTTTACTATTTTATATATTCAATGGGCCCTAAAAGATTATAAATAAAACTCTTATCCATTTAGCAGGATTATTAATTTAGTACATTGGCCCAAGTCCGAACTGGGATACTTTATAATTTAAGTGAGATTATTAATTTATCGAACATTTAGCCCATGGTTTGATTTTTTTTTTTTTTTTTTCAAAATCACTTTTCTTCAAACTCATTTGCAACCACACATTTTTCCAATAAATTAATTTTGCATGTGACCCATAATTTTTCCTACCTTTTAATCATTCTCCAAAAAATCACTATTCACAATATCACTTCCCCAAAAATCAAAATCAAACAAGAGCTTATTTATCAAGGTTTAACTGTAATAAGCTCATTTACTTGTGTAATCTTCAAAAAGTTCACGTTATTAGGCTAATAGAGAAGGCTTGAAGAGCAGCCTGAAAAAGTGACAGCAGACTCGCCAATCAAGCACGGCATGAGGCTGAGTACAGCAGACCAGGAGGTTACAATTCCTGTTTTCTACCATTTGTACAATGCATGCAAAACTTACCTAAGTTTCAGCAATTACAGGATATACAAGGACAAAAAATATTGATTAACTAAACCTTCAGGCAGAAAACTGTACTGTGAAACCAACATGTGAAACTACGACTTGTATTCATGTAATACCTGCTTCAAAGCTCCAACATCATTTGTTCCATCACCACACATCAGTGTTACCCTTCCCACCGATTTAAAAGTGGTCATGATGAGTTCCTTTTGCTCTGGAGCCACCCTAGCAAATACCTGAGAGAAAATATAAATGTTGTGAGAATGAGAAACCACGGAGTACTAAGTGTGTGAAGTTAATATAGTGAGAGTTGTAACCTTTACATATGGAATCACTTTTAGAATACCAGAAGTTTGCTGCAACATTTCAATGCAGTCACCTCCAATACAAAGATCATATGACTCTGATAGAGCTTCAACCTCATTTTCACTGTCAACAAAAATTAATATTTGAAACAGCTGAAGGGAAAGAAGCCAACAGGAAAAGATGACTTCCCAGTTTTAAGGCAGCAGAGGGAATGAGCAATCAGACAAACTTCTCTAAGCCAAAATCAGACTCGTGCAGATGATGCAAAAAATGAGGTAGAAGAAATTGCAAGGAGAAGCGTACAGAATAGAGCCAATAGATTGAAGAACATGATAAACAACACCAAAGCACACTCATGGTAGCATCTTCAAATAAAAAATGGCTTTTACCTGTACTTTATAATATCTGTCTCGTCAGGAGACAGCCACTGATATTCTTCACTGTTCTTTCCACTGCCGAGAATCAGTGCTGGTTTTGAAATAATATTAACTTGGCCCGCAACATGACAAGCTGTCAAAGCTTGATCTCCAGTAATCATGACCTGACAAATATTAACATCATCTACACCTGGATATAGCCATCTGACGAATGATGAATATCATGGGCAAAGTCAAAACAACAAATACTACAGAAGGATCCTAGACACCAAATTTTCTTATTTGCATTGTAAAAATTGTTATTGATGGTTAATAAATCACCACTCTCCTCTAATTGACAGCATTTAATTTAAGCTATGAAAGGAATGACAATTCCATGCCTAGTGTAGTGAGTTTTAATCATTCGGACTCTCCCGAGCTCGCTCAGGACACTCAAGTGAGATATACAGATTAAAAACAAGGAATTCAGCAGCATGAAAGACTCTACTGAGAAGACCGATCTTCGCACATAGACACAGCTCTCAGCATCTTCTGAGGTAAGTACATTGAATGGCCACCAAGGTCAGAATGAATGGGAAAAATCTCAACGACCACAGTTCATATTGGTTTTCTTACTGACTGATGCTAAACCTATTTTTAGTTTGCAGTCCAAATTTGGCATAACTGCATTAAAAGTATGAATGCTTACAATTTAAATTACCGGAATGATTTTCCATACATTTACTGCAACTCTGTATTGTACTCTAGGAAGTTCTGAAAATTGATTTCCTGCATTTAGCACAGTTGTAGCATCCCGAAAATTTTTAAAATAAAAATTTATTTATTCTATATATTATATTTATTATCTTGAAAGTGAGAGACTAAGGTGAAATATATTTTAAATCCTTATATCTTTTGGATCAAATATTTGGATTTTGATAGAGTGATGATAAGTATATCAATATTATACTCGTTGGATAACTAGTATTTAATTATGAATTTTAGGCTCGAGATAAAGTTGTTTTGGATAAAATCACGTTAAGTTAGATCCGATGCAAAGTAAAGAGGATTTAATAAAATTTTGGAAGAATAAAGAATATTAATTTAGTATTGGGCAGTCACGTGTGTATCTTTAGTTAGAGGAAAATTGATTTTTTCTATGTAGATAAAGACAAATCTGAAAATGATTCAGTTGGTTTCTGATTTTAATATGGCATTGATTTTTTCTATGTAGATAAAGACAAATCTGAAAATGATTCAGTTGGTTTCTGATTTTAATATGTCAGGCACGTGTAGGTGAGTAAGTTGGTTTTCTTTTACTTATTTATTTGTTTTGATTTTCAATGTGACAGGATGCTGCCAAGAATAGAATGATGATATGATACAATCTTTTACAAGATATACGTCACATGTAAATTAGATATATCAAATCAATTTTTGTTAAGACTTATCAACTACTCCTACACCTATAAATAGCTCACGGGTTCCCAAGCATTTCTACAGAAGATTTCAAAAAAGCTTCTATCCAAGAAAAACAAAATAGAAGGATTTCGAAGAAAACCGTTCCAGTTGGTTATTTTGGAACTAGAAAACAAGAAGCCAATTTTACAACCTTATAGTTACCAAGGCAAAGAGTTTGAGAAATGAATTTGGGCACGAAGTAATTATATTTCGTTCATTAATTCCTTTTACTTAGTGAGGTAAGGTATTTATTGTGCAAGTGTTTTTGTTTCCTTATACTTTTATATTCAATTAAATATGTATGAAATGCTAGTGGACCTTCGGATTTTTTTAATAAATATGAAATCCTACGGGATTATAAGAGGACCTAAAATGGGTCTGTCGTTTGGTCACCGATATACTCCATAAGATCAGAGTGGTATGAAATGTATAATTTTTATTGTTATATATTTGTATATGGAAACTGCATATATTTTATTGGGTGTTTTTGAATACTCACTCTTAATTCGGGACGATTGAAATTGTGGCGAATCGGTGTTGCGGATGGCCAATGAAATCTAAGGAAAATAAACAATTACTTTGTTGTTATGTCTCTAATTTTATTTGTTAGCTTTAAATGTTCAAAAGACCCACTTGTTTAATTAGTCATTTGATTATGTTTAGATTTTTAGAAACTTAGATATCGTGTTTTAAAACGATGTTTTGGTTGAAAATAAAGAATTTCTTTTATTTGTGTTGTTCCGCATTTATAAAAAGGAAAAAATTGAATTTTTTGTTACACCCCAGTGTTTATGAAAATTTAGGCATTACAGTATGGTATTAGAGTCCATTAAGTTCCAAAGAGCGACTCAATCCGATTAAGACTCAATAGATGAGCATACGAATTTCAAGATTGGTCTGCTCTAACGAGCCACCATCTTGCGAGAATATGTTAAGGGATATAATCCCACATCGAATAAAGATGAAAATATAGACCAACTTATACGATCTTAGGCTACTCCTTTTAATAAGATTGACATTTTAAGAAAGAATCCCAAAACTTAACATTATTTCACCTTCCTGTAAAAAAAAAAATTAAATAAAAAAAAAAACCGAAATTCTATTGGCAGTCCATACATATTTAATTGAATATAAAAGCATAAGGAAACAAAAACACTTGCACATAAAATATCTTATCTCGCTAACTAAAATGAATTAATGAACGAAATGTAATTGCTTCGTGCCCAAATTCTTTTCTCAAACTCTCTGCCTCGGTGACTATAAGGGTGTAAAATTGGCTTCTTGTTTTCTAGTTCCAAAATAACCAACTGGAACGATTTTCTTCGAAAACCTTCTATTTTGTATTTCTTAGATAGAAGCTTGTTTTGAAATTGTGTAAAAATGTTTTGAAACCCATGAGCTATTTATAGGTGTAGGAATAGTTGATAAGTCTTAACAAAAATTAATTTGATATATCTAATTTACATGTGACATAAATCTTATAAAAGATTGTATCATATCATTATTTTATTCAATCTAAACTAACATCCTTATCGAAAACGTGGCAGCATCCTATCACATTGAAAATCAAAACAAATAAATAAATAAAAGAAAATCACCTTACTCACCTACACCTATCTGACAATGCCATATTAAAATCAGAATCATTTTCAAATTTGTCTTTATCTACCTAAAAATTTCCTCTACTTGAAAATACACACTTGATTGCTCAATACTAAATTAATATTCTTTATTCTTCCAAGATTCTATTAAATCCTCTTTACTTTGCACGTGATTTTATCCAAAAACAATTTTTTCTCAAGCCTTAAATTCATAATTAAATACTAGCTATCCAACGAGCATAATATTGATATACTTATCATCACTCTATCAAAATCCAAATATTTAATCCAAAGGATATAAGGATTTAAAATATATTTCACCTTAGTCCCTCACTTTCAAAATAATAAATATAATATATAAAATAAATAAATTTTTATTTTAAAAATTTTCGGGATGTTACAAGAGTCCTTTGACTGAACCCATCCAGTTTAACTAATCTTATAATTTTTAGTAACACTTGTAGCCCAATATTGTGTGGAGTCGGGCAGATTGCCATTGCATTAGCAGAGCAAACACGGAAAGGTTATTTGTACATTGACTGTCCAGCTAGGATATCTTTCAGATCCCACCCGCACCACACACCGACAAACTTCACCAATGCTTCAGCAGGCCAAACAAGCACACCCTCGCTACTAGCGGATAAAACTGCTACACTGGATTCCCAGAATTTCAAACAATACTCGAAACTGAGTTAAGTTTGTTTGGTTTCAAGTGACAAAAGAGCAAGCCCAATTATTTCTGGTTTTATAACATTTACAATGGTGGTTTCAGTTTTATCAAATTGGTTCTCATTTTTGTTTGTTATCAAGACCCTGGAAAAAAAGAAAAAGAAAAAAGAAAAATCAAGCCAAATCAAACACTTGCTGAATTCATGCAGAGAAGGAAATGAACCCGATAGCAAATAATGGAAAGCCTCATATTTTAATGAATATGATCCTTGGCAAAAATTTGGAATATATAATAAAAAAACACGAGGGACACATTCTTTGTGTCTATTTTCTTTCTTAGCATTACCTTATTTTACTTGGAAGATGCTCTTATTTTCATACTTCCAACTGTAAAAAGTGCTTATTGTTTGTTTCTATTTCCTTTCTAGGATTTCCTTATTTTTCCTTAGACACTCAAGCAAACATACAGGAATACTGTGGATGATAGAAGCACATAAAAAATTACTTGAAAGAATATCAAACTCACCAAATCATGTGATGATCCTTTTAATTCAGATAGAATAGTTGCTGAATCTCCTCTGATTGGACAATTGAATACCTGAACCATGCATGAAGAGCATCACAAAGTGACAAAAGTATAACAAGAAAGAAGAGACCATATTAATGATATCTCCAACTTTTGGGCATTCTCCAAAAATTGCATTCTTTGAGTCGGATCTTTTACCGCAAAACCAGCAAAAGTAAGACCACTTTCCACCACATCTCTCTCTAAGCTTCTAGCTTCGCTAACCTTCAAACAGTTGACATAATTGGCATCAGCTTAAAGAGGCATAGATGAAACAATTACAGGGAAAAATGAAGCAACACAGCTAAGAAATCAATAAATAACACCTGCGTGACCCTACCACATATCAATGAATAGATAAAGAAATAATTTTGTACATATAGAGTTATAGATAAGAAACATGTTTACATAGGAATATGAAGAAAATACTGGTTATACGAATAATTAAGCATCCACATTTTTCAAGAGTGAAAAGTAAAAAATAAGAAAAAATTGTAGACCTCTGGATGCCATCCCATAGAATATTATACAATTGAGGCCATGCTCAATTACAAAGAAAGCAAGACTTGCAAATTATACAAACAAAAGACATCAGTAATAACAAAACTCATTGTACCGATAACTTTAAATCACGAAGATTTCTGAACAAGCTCACATGGATGTATACAAGATCTTTAAGTAGATAATATACAACAGTATTTTAATTGACTATTACAAAACATTACAGTAACCTTTAAATGGAAATGGGAAGAATGGTAAGAAGTCCAATTGTGCCCTTGTTGGGAAAACTATTGTCCCTCCCCTTAGATTATAATAAGAAGTTTTAAACATGTGATTAAAAATTTGCTACAAGTTAACTAATAAGAGATTCTCTTTCCACCCATTCTATAATCCCTCCCACCCAACTTCCCACTACACTTCCACTCCGCCTTTTCTTTCCACCTAACTTCCCTCATACCAAACATGCCCTAGGAGGATGAGTGACCATACAAAGGGTCTGTTCATAGTTGTGGTCATATAACATTTAAAAGGAACAGTACCACGAAGGATATTGTGGTTTACCAGTTCATCTATTGATGCAGTATTAATTGGTAGAAACAAGTCCCCGTGAAAAATGAAGAAACCAAAATAAATATAAGATACTGGTATAGAGTGTTCCCATAACCATTTCTTAGAGCAAATTGCTGTTATCTACATGTATGTTAGATTTAACATTAACAATGTCGATTTATTTATGACGTGGTAGAGGAAATGAACATTTTAAGGGCAAAGTGTTCCAACAGCTCCTACTTACTGTCATCTCAGGAAGAGACTTGTAGGCCAAAGCTAGGACACGAGAACCTTGACGTGTGTGTTTCTTGTAGATCTTCACATAGAATGCTGGCATATCAACAAGTCTTTCCTGAATAGTTTCTGGTGCACCCTAAAATTTCACAGGCAAAAAATATAATAATAAGATATCCATGAACTTCAGTAAAATCAAAGAAGAAAACAAAATAAAAATTATACCAATGAAATAAAAAATATTATTCTTGTCATCATCGTTCACATGTTTTTTCAGGGGCCAATAAAAAGTACACACAGTAGCCTATTCAGGAAACAGTAGTGAAAAATAAAAATCATTCCACCACATGAAAAGGAACCCGCAATAGCACTTGTTCAAAAATGACCATATCTGAGACCTTTAAAAAGAAACATAAACTATATATGCACACATGTCAATTATATACATATATCTAAGTCAGGAGTTAATTATGACAAATTCATGAAAAGAAAAGAAAAGAAAAATATGCATGCTAATATAGACTGGTAAACGTTTGGAATGTTCACTTGTACACTAAAAACAGTGAGAAGAAAGCAGTCAGATTCCACGTTTAACCTAGGCATACAACCCATTTTCATAGAAGCTGAATGGGGAGGCATACAAAATTGGTTCCACTATGATTGACTGTGGTAGACTTGTAAAATTAAACTCTGAATTTTGCATCAGACGTCCGAAATTCTGTCCCACTTCATCAAGACTACCAGTTTTATGGGACCAAATATTGGGCTATCAAAAGCCAACATATACATAAACCAAGTGTTGTTCAAAAGAGCATGCTAAGATGAACTCTTATCATATGATATTGTACTTAAGTGAACCTATCATTTAATGTCATACGGTTGCTTGCCATGTAGACTAGAGATTGAAATCAGTGATATTAAATAGTATTACTCTTTGTAGACCACATTACACAGTACAAGATTAAAAAAATAATAATAATAAATAAATAAATAAAAATAAAAAATCCTAAAACAGTGTTTGTGTCGATAATACCCTGACTATTTTTATCCTGCTAGTTTATCCCTCCATATCCATCCCGTATTAAATTTACTCATCGAAAGAGGTGGCCGGTGGGTTTAGACCATATTATTTGTTGCTAAACAGAGTGGTGATTAATAGGGAAAACCTTGTGAGTTTATTTATAAGTTAAAATATAAAATTTACTTACAAGTAAAAAACATTACCAATTAGTAAAAAAAAACCTTGTAAGACAAAAATTCATTTATATGTATAAAAAATTGCTTACAAGTAAAAAATACTACTAACGACTAAAAAATTCACTTATAAGTAAAAAATTGCTGATAAGTAAAAATGCTCCTTATACCTAAATAATTCTCTAATTAAAAAAAATTACTTGTAACTAAAAAACTAATTAATACGTAAAAAATCACTTAAGAAAAAACTCACTTATAAATATACAAAATCACTTACAGGCAAAAAAAATTCACTTATGTAGAAAAATTACTTACAAGTATAAAATTGACAAAACCAAGAAATTTATTTACTTATAGATAAAAAATTACAAATAGTAAAAAATTCACTTAAAATTTACCTTTAATAAAAAATTTACTTCTAAGTTAAAAAAAATTTCACTCATGCCAAAAAAATAAAAAATAAAAATCACTTGTATGTTTAAAAATTTCTTATAACTAAAAATATTGCCATAATTTTTTCCTATTTAATTACTTATATGGTTTCTATTACGGTAACACCAAACATCATATCAGAACAATACCCCTAATCTAACTTAATATTATCCACCCTAATCTTATCCCTCTTGATCCTATCTCCTCTAATCCTATACGGTCTACCAAACATAACTGTAGTGGCTATGGTGGCACATAAAGAAATTACAGACAGCCGGTCAAGATGGTTAGGGGACATAAAAAAAGAATGACACAAGCTCTTGTTAGGAAACTGGGATGGGCATAATGATAAACTTGGAGGAAGAGGTTGGCTAAACGTATACTGGATTGTTTACTGGAGTACAAAACAATTGGAGCCTTTACATTTAACTATGGATACACTTCTTGATAGAGCATAGTGAAAGAAGTATACTGTAGCCAACCGTTAATAAGTGTAAGATAAAGCTATCTTGAGTTAGTGTAATACTTTAAAATAGGTCTAAATAGGTCAAGACCTCCAACCCAGCGAAGGACATCTGTTTCTGATAGCTTTCACCCTTCAGAATTACTTTGGCAGTATTCTGCTTTAAAAGTGTGATTTAAATTGAAGCTCTCAATGTGATTTAAATTAAAGTTTCATGTAGTGTCTTTGTTTATAAGTTCCATTCAGAATTCAGTAGCATTATTACAGCCAGTAAAATTAATTATATACTAGTGAAAATTCACCATATGGAATCACAGATCAAATCATTCAAAACCAAAGTACCTAAATTGTATCTTGGAAAAAGTACATCATCTCAACAATTAGGAATACATTATTGAGGACATTAGTATTTAGAAGCCAAAATATTTAAAACATTTGGATACATCAAGGTTAAATTTGTGTTTTCTGCATCATCCCAAAATTATAATGCAATGAGAAATAAAATTGTAAGTTCAAACCTTCACAAAAGAAAAAAATTGCTCCTGAACACGAACGACAACTGCCATTCTTTTTAAGTGAGAAGCAAAGTGGTGTCTCGGCACAATCTGTACTGCATTGCCTCCTCCCCTGCATTTCGCACAGACTTTTAGCTGACAACAGACAAAGTAGATAAATATAAACTGGTAAATTTTCAAGATCAGAATCATACACACTGGAAAATAAAAAGCACATTAGGCATTTACGCAAACATAATTGGTATTACTGACTCCCCTGTACAGATTCCACAGTATTAGAGTTCATGTAGTGTGCACCTTAATTTCTCCTGACATCCCCTTCTCCCCGGAAGAAAAATATTATAATGCCATACAATAATTAATTTAACACTCCACATGCAGTATCATATGACTTTTGCATCAACAGCAAGCTTTAAAATAGAGCATTCTACATCAATTGTGCATATTTTAACAACTTCCAATTAATGAAAACCAGAAGTCAAAACCTTAAAACTTACAACTTTAACTATTTTTAACATTATTAATTCAAGTGGGCAAAAAAATATGATCAGGATCTTGAAAAGTAAAACAAAGCTCAAATCAACCTCATTTAAACATGGATTAAAAAAAAATGTTGCAGCATACTTCTTTGGCATGGACTTTTCATCTGATTTGTAGCTCCAGTCGATTCCTTTCAATGCAGCCTTCTCAAGAGGATCACCAACCTACATCCAGATGATGTAAAATATGAGAGTTTTGAGAAAGTCGCAGTACGCATTAATGTGAGGCTCCATTGTTTTTCATTTATCTTCAACTTTACTCATTAATATAGATTTGTGTTTCTTATCATATTGCATACCGATGTTTGGAGATACCCTGCACAGCCAGGGACCATTTTCTGCTGCCTGGATTTTTTAAAAGGGTTTGGGCAGCCTTTTATTTGTATTGGCAATGTGCTATTCTTCTGGTTAGAACTTCTTCTTGATACTTCAAATAATATTGTAGAGAAGTTAGGAGTTTGTTAGATAGGATTTATTTAAATTAAAATCAATTATAACATATTGATATAATCCATTATAACAAATCAACATTATTTGTTGGAATAGATCATCATAATCTGTTCAACAGATTTAGTGATAGAATTTAGAAGTTTAGTTTGATTAGAATTCTCTTTTCTTGTAATTCTTAGGCTATTTATTCTGTAATTTCTGCAGTCAATTATGAATAATAATACGGGAGATTTCTTATTCTTTCTTTTCAGAAACTTTCTTGGTATCAGAGCTTTGGTTCTGACCGAAGTTCTCAATGGTTAAAACGTCAATGACGGGAGGAATTAGAAGCTCAGCATCCTCAGGGGAAGCCGTTGAAAGTACCCCTATCTCATCCTCAAATATCGAACCAGATGTTTCAACTTCAACAGCCAATAATTCCTTACGGTTAAAAGCTAACAAATTAAATGGTAAAAATTACCTAAACTGGGCACAAACAGTAAACTGGCAATAGACGGAAAAGGGAAACTTGGTCACTTGACTTGTGAGGTAAAGAAACCAGCAGATAATGATCCATCCCAACCTCAAATCATGGAGATCCGAAAACTCCATGGTTACAGCTTGGCTTGATAACTACATGGAGCTTGCTATAGGAAAACCTTTCCTATTTATACCATCTGTAATGGAGTATTGGGAAGCAGTTTGTGACACATATTCTGATTTGGAAAATCCATCTCAGATTTTTTATCTCAAGACTCGGCTATGGCACTTAAAGCAAGGAGATCGAAGAGGTAACTGTATATTACAATGAAAAAGTAACATTGTGATAGGAATTAGGACAATGTTATGATGAAGAGTGGGAGACTGCCAGTAACAGTGTACGATATCGAAAAAGAGAGGAAGATGAACGAGCATATATGTTTCTTGGAGGCCTTAATCGAGAGCTAGATGAAGTGCGAGGTCAAATTCTAAGTCGAAAGCCTCTCCCAAACATACACAAAGTTTTCTCGGAAGTAAGAAAGAAACGAAAAAACGTCATGATGACCAAGTATAATGTAGTTGAAATTGAAAATTCAGCACTAGTTTCCACAAGCTTTGTATTTGATGGAGAAGGGACGAATTTGAAGCAAGCAGAAAAGCCCTGATGCGACCACTGCAAGGTCATGGCATACACGGGACACGTTGGAAATTGCATGAAAAGCCCCCAAACTTTTTTCTTGATAGGTAATCAGAGAATTTTATTCCTTAAAAGAGAGTACACGGGAGGTATACAATCACCTTAAGCATGAAAGGAACAACATGAAATTACGCAACCCTACAACAGGATTTTTAGCCACTGCATTAAACCAAGTATACAAAGTCAAGTAAAATAATTTTCTTATCTGCTTTATTGTCTTTGTTTGGTCTCCGAAACATCAATCGTTCCGTTCTCTCCATATGCACCATATAATGCATCCCGGGATAAGATTCCAGAGAAGTTTGCCATCCTCATCGCGAAGTTTTCTCCTCCATGCCCGCACCACGTCTTCTATACGCCTAGGTAGCACCCAATCCATTGATTGAGAAGCCAGAATACTGTTCCAAAGCCAACGTACACCATCACAATGAATGAATAAATGATCGATCGTCTCTCCATCCTTCTTGCACATATAGCACCACTCGGTTACATAAAATCCTTTTCGTCGAAGATTATTTACCGTTGACACCTGTCCCCTCATAACTGTCCACAATAGACATGCTACCCGTGGAGGCAATTTGCTTTGCCACATCATCTTCCAAGGTAATGAACTCTCCACAAATCCCAAAAGGGATTGAAAGTATGAGCGGACTGAAAAAATACCATCTCAAGCCAACCTCCACCTGCTCCAATCACTCTCTCCTAGCCGAATTTGTATCTCATGCAGAATGGTCAAAAACAACGAATAATCTTCCAATTTCCAATCCTGTAAACCCCTCCTGAAAGTAATATTCCAACTATAACTCCCATTATAAATGTCTAATACATCACCCACCATAGCAGCAGGCTCTAACGCAATGCGGTACAATGAAGGAAATCCCTCCTTTAACGGTTGATCGCTACACCAACTATCATCCCAAAATCTAATATCAGTGCCATTTCCCACCACAAAATTTAGTTTGTCTCTAAAATCACTCCATCCCCGTCGGATATACCTCCACAAACTCACCCCATAGGAGCCACGACCCTCAACCGTACACCAACCCCTCCTTCACACCATACTTTGCCCCAATGATTTCTCTCCAAAAGCTCTCCCTCTCCACTCCAAATCGCCACAACCACTTGCCCAATAAAGCCTTATTAAACAAAACAAGGCTCCTCACTCCAAACCCCCCATCCTCATAGGCAAACAAATAGTACCCTAATTAACCAAATGCATTTTCCTCTCCTCCCCTAACCCTGCCCACAAGAATTCTCTTTGAAATCTCTCTAATCTATTTGCCACTGCAACCGGAATAGGAAACAATGACAAAAAGTAAGTGGGGAGATTTAAGAGAATGGATTTAATAAGAGTAAGTCGGCCTCCCTTAGAAAGATACATACGCTTCCACCCCGCTAACATCCTCTCCATTCTTTCCATAATACCATTCCAGATATGTGTACTTTTAAACCGTGCCCCTAGCGGGAGGCCTAAATATAACATGGGCAATTGTGCAATCCTACATCCTAATATGCCAGCCAACTCCTCCACGTTAGTGACCTCCCCAACTGGAATAATCTCAGATTTCCCCAAATTAATTTTTAATCCAAACAGCGCTTCAAAACATAGGAGCAAACGACGCAAGTTCCTGGATTGTTCATCATCCGCATCACATAAGATCAACGTGTCATCTCCAAATAGCAAATGAGACACTTGCAATTGGCCAACCCTAAAGCCCCTTACCAAACCCTCTCTCACAACTCTTTCAAACATTCTACTGAAAGCCTCCATCACAATAACAAATCGCAATGGGGATAGTGGATCTCCTTGCCGCAATCTTCTACTACTTTGAAAATAACCCTCCGGCGTTTCGTTGACCATAACTGAGAACGAAACAGTAAAAATACAGAACTGAATCCATTTATACCACTTTTCCCCGAAGCCACACCTCCTAAGCATATACAAAAGGAACCCCCAGTTCATATGATCATATGCCTTTTCTGAATATCGACCTTACATAGCATCCCGAACTGGAAGAAGAAAAGCCCCCAAACTGGAAGAAGAAAGGAGATAGCCGAGCATTCCAAGTCTCAAACGATGATCAAAGTCAGCAATCTTCCTCAGAAAAGCTTCCATTCACAAAAGAACAATTAGACCCCCTATGCAAACTTTTTTAATCCTCTAATCTGACCGTAAATACCTCTCCCTCATGTTCCTTAGCAAAAAAAGGTAATGATCTCCCCGTTGCCCTAGTAAGTGTTAGTTCCAGTTCTAGTTACCCATGGATCATTGATTCGGGTGCAACTGACCATATGACATGATCTTCGAAATTGTTTGTTTCATGTAATCCATGTGCAAGGAACCAAAAAATAAAAATAGCAGATGGATCCCTTTCAGTTATAGTTAGAAAAGATTCAATCGTCATTTCACCATTTATCACTCTTCATGATGCCCTCCTCCATGTCCCTAACCTATCGTGTAATCTCGTCCATTAGTAAATTAACTCATGATATGAAATGTAAAGTTCAATTTTTTCAATCTTATTGTGAATTTCAGGAATCGAACTCGAGGAGGATGATTAGTAGTGCTAAACAAAAGGGAGGACTCTATTTCATTGAAGATGAATCTGACTCGAAAAGACAAGCACAAGGCACTTGTTTCAATTCTATTTCTGTTATTAGTGAAAATAAAATTATGTTATGGCATTTAAGGTTGGGACATCCTAGTTTTCATTATCTAAAGTAATTGTTTCCAAGTTTATTGATCAATAAAAATTCATCTTCGTTTCAATGTGAAATTTGTGAATTGCCTAAACATCATCCTACCTCTTTGCCTTCACTATTTTATAAACCCTTTGAACCTTTGTCTATGATTCATTTGGGGGACACCTTAGGCAGCTACTCTATCAGTAAAAGATGGTTTATTACATTTATTGATGATCACACAAGGATAACATGGGTCTATTTTTTGAGGGAAAAAGCTTTGAAAGATTTCCATAACATGGTAAAAACTCAATTTCAGGCAAGAATTAAAATTTTTCGAAGTGATGATGGCAATGAGTACTTTAACAAACTTCTACGAAAATATTTTGTTGAAAATGGTTTTGTACATCAAAGTTCATGCATAGATATCCCTCGACAAAATGGAGATACAAAAAGAAAGAATAGGCACATTCTTGAAATTGTTAGAGCTCTACTTTTTACAACAAAGGCACCAAAATACTTGTGGGGTGAAGCTATTCTTACAAGTTTACAGCAACCTTTTTGATTAATCAAATGCCTTTCCAAACTTCAATAAATGTTTTCAATACAAGCTTTCTCACATCACGACTAATAAGCAATATTCCATTAAAATTTTTTGGATGCATTGTCTTCGTCCATGTTCATAGCCACAATCGCAGTAAACTTTGACCCAAGAGCTAAAAAATGTCATTGCTGGCTACTCAACAACTCGAAAGGGATATAAGTGCTTTGATCCAACTACACGAAAATATTTTGTTACGATGGATATGACATTTTTTGAAACAAAATCTTTTTTTGAAGATGAACATCTTTAGAGGGAGAATAAGAGTGAAAATGAAGACTTTGGGAATATTTTATGAATAGAACACACTACTCTAGATTCCATTTCTACTTGAGGAAGCACAAGCACTAGCTTGACTAGTATAGAAACGAACCTGCACCAACTCAAACTAGTACAGCAACTGAGCCCACACCGGGTCAAGCTGTTGATTTAAATATATTAGATAATGAAAACAACAGAAATTCCTCTTCTATACCATTACATGATCATCTAGAAACAAAAATGTGTGTGAAACCAAGTGAAAATGAAATTGGGCTTCATGTCTACTCGAGAAGATAAATCCTCAAAAGGAAGGAACATACCAATACACAGCAACGCCATGAGTCCAAGTCGAGGGAAAATTCAAGTTAAAAGTCCTCAGGTAAAATTCTTCATATTCATTCTATTTCAAAGTCTACTGAGTCTTTAGAAATTCCTATTGCTCATAGAAAAGGAATTCGATCATCCATTAATCATCCCATATCTAAATTTGTGTCATATGAGAGATTATCCCCTTCTATTCATGCTTTCACATCACAATTTTCATGAATAGAAAATTCTAGAAATGTGTAGGATGCTTTAATTGTTCCAGAATGGAAAGAAGCAATTCTAGAGGAGATGAAGGCACTTGACAAGAATAAGACCTGGGATGTGGTTGGTCTGCCAATATGGAAGAAAATATTGGACTGTAAGTGGGTGCTTACGACTAAATACACTGCAGCTGGTACTTTAAACCAATGAAAAGTAAGATTGATAGCAATAGGGTTCACTCAAACCTATGGCATAGATTATTTAGAGACTTCTGCACCAGTAGCTAAGCTTAATACAGTAAGGGTGCTTTTCCCAATTGCCGTAAACTTAGAATGGCAACTACAACAACTGGACGTAAAAAATGCATTTCTAAATGGTGATCTAGAAGAGAAAGTCTATAAGGAGTCTCCATCACGATTCAATAAGAGTTTTGTTTCAAAGGTATGTAAGCTAAGAAAATCCTTGTATGGTCTTAAACAATCACTTAGAGCATGGTTCAAGAGATTCACTCAAACAGTTAAAAATCAAGGATATGCTCAAGGACGGACAGATCACACATTGTTTATGAAGTTCTCAGAGGGAAGAGTAGTTTTAATTGTGTATGTAGTTATCATCCTCACTGGAGATGATATGGTAGAAATAGATAGGCTTAAAAAGTGCTTAGCCTCTGAATTTGAGATCAAAGATCCGAGGTCACTGAAATACTTTCTTGGTAAGGAAGTTGCTTAATCCAAACAAGGAATTGTAGTTTCACAAAGGAAATATGTACTTGATCTCTTAAAAGAGACAAACATGAGTGGTTGTAGCCCTATGATGTTCGGACTCGGGTACGAGTATCGGACACAAGTACATATCTAGGAATCGGACACTTCTCATTTTAAAAATTAAGATATGGGGATACGGTAAAAAAGAATCTGAATTTTGGACACGGGTACGAGGATACGTCTTAAAAAATATTTAAAAAAAAATGACGGATCAGTTATTTTATTTTATTGTAATATAAATATTTCTTGTTTTGTAATTAATAATACTGAATTTGTGATGTTTTAATTATTATATAAAAAGTTGACATGAATAGAAATTAAAAAAAATATAAAAAATATAGTATATTAAGGAACTTAATAATAAGTATTGGACAATCATTTTGAATAAAATCAGTTTAAATTTTTATTTACTTGTACACAAATTAACTGATATTAGCCGTCAAATAATGAACTCGTGATTTAGTTTGTTTATCAACTCTTTCAATAAAATTAATTTAAACAATTGGATTATAATTCGAAATCAATTTAAATTTACAGCCAAAATAATTTCTTCTAAAATAATTAAAGAAAAAAAATTCAATTTCATTGTCTTATATATTATTCAAAAATAATTATAGAAATAAATTTAAATTTAATACCTAATAAAAGATATAGCGCTAAATTCTTTTAATTGCAAAATAAAAAGTTCACACAGATGAAATTTAAGAAATAAAAAAATTAAAACAAAAAAAAACCTCAAATAAAATAGATCTCACGGACAATTTAATGATTTATTCTAATAAAATAATTACAACTGATTAAGTCTATGCATTGGTCTTTAAAGAGTCCATAATTTGGTCTAGCCCAATATAATCAATTAGGGCAGTCCGTAGTCAGCACCTCCTTGTCTTCCCCAGCCCTCGTCTTCTCCAGCCTTCTCTCTGCAGAGCCAGAAGTAGAAATCCAGAAGCAAGACTCCACCTTTTGCCTTCTTCTCCCTTTTGTTGCCGTGTTCAAGTGCAAAATCAAAGATCTAATCCATATCCCGTGTCGGTATCCGTGTCATGTCGTGTCGACACGGATACTTCACCAAAAATGGGGAGTCCGAGCATCATAGTTGTAGACCTTTTGAGACCAATGGAGCCAAATTTGAAACTTGGATATAGTGAAATGAAGGTTCCAGTTGATAAAATAAGATACCAGAAACTAGTTGGCAAGCTAATTTACCTATCTCATACCTGGCCAGACATAGCCTTCACAGTTAGTGTAGTAAGCCAATTTATGCATTCACCATATGAAGAGCATCTTGACGCCGTCCACAAGATCTTAAGATATCTAAAGAGTACTCCAAGCCAAGGATTATTCTTTAAGAAAAGTAAGTAGGTGGAATTGAAGTTTATACAGATGCTGATTGACAGAATCAATAATCGATAGACAATGAATCTCTGGATACTGCAAGTTTGTTTGGGATAATCTTGTTACTTGGAGCAAGAAACAAATTGTAGTGGCAAGAAGTAGTGCAGTAGCCGAATTTAGAGCAATGTCACATGGAATTTGGATGCTATGGTTGAAACATGTGCTGGAAGAGTTGAAAAGACCTATTGAACAACCTATGAAACTTTATTGTGATAATAAGATTGCAATCAGCATTGCACACAATCCAGTGTAGCATGACAGGACGAAATATGTGGAAATAGACAGGCACTTCATATAGTAGAAACTCCAGACATGAACCGTATGTTTGCCATTTATCCCAACTACACTACAAATAGCCGACATCCTAACAAAAGGACTCCAGAGACCAAGATTTGAACTTTTGATAAGCAAATTAGGCATGATTGATATCTATGCTCCAACTTTGGGGGTGTAGAGAAATTAGGAGTTCGTTAGATAGGATTTATTTAAATTAAAATCAATTATAACAGATTGATATAACCTGTTATAACATATCAACATTATCAGTTGGAATAGATCATCATAATCTGTTCAACAGATTTAGTGATAGAATTTAGAAGTTTAGTTTGATTAGAATTCTTTTTTCTTGTAACTCTTAGGCTATTTATGCTGTACTTTCTGCAGTCAATTATAAATAATAATACGGAAGATTTTTCTTTCTTTTCAGAAACTTTCAAATACAAATATTTTTTAATTCATTTTTAGGAAACTTTCTGTGCAGCCTCTATAACTATATGCAGCGAGCCGGAAGGGGCAGGCAAGCGGGGGAAGGGGAGCAGAGATGCTGGGTTGGACTTGAAGGAAGAGGGTGAATCTCAACTAAAAGCAGGATATTCTACATAAAATTAGTAAGCCGGGGGGGGGGGGGATATTTTTAATTTTTTCTCTCCAACTCGCTCCTCATTAAACAAATTCGTTAATAGTTATCTAGGAATCATTAGTGTAGAACAAGAAGGTTTGCTGTTTCAACTTCCTTGTTCCTTCCGCCCCAATATACACGAGAAGAACAAGTGATCAGATGAAGTGGTTATTTTCTATTCCTTGGAAGAAAATTTTGATTATTACTTCAGATTATCTGGAGCATTAGGATACCCAGGAAGGCCTGACACTGAACGAACTTGACTAGGAGAAATCAATATACATTAGAAGAACAATTGACCAGATAAAATTGGTGGTTATTTTCTCTTCCTTGAACGATATTTTGTTCAACTTTAGATTATCTGGCGCTTTAAGATAACCAGGAAAGAGGTCTGACACCGAAAAATGTAACGAGAAGAAATCAATGCAACAACACTGACGGAATGAGGCTGCTGACTGCATGAGAAAAAGAATGCAAAAAGTACTACTTCTACGCCGCAAAATAAATAAGAGCAAGGATTAGTTCATAAGCATTAACTTTTTTTTAATGATAAAAGTTCATACCAGCTTGTTGTCCACAAAAACCAGGGCATGACAAGAAGCAAGAATTTCCAAAGTACGCAAAGGCAATTTAGAGATATCTGTTTCTAGGTCCTCACTATCTGTCAACCCACCAACTCCAGAAAACTCCTGAATATCAGAGCATAAAACATCATCATAAAAGGTAAATTCTTGCAGAAGACTTAATATATCAGAGCTAATAGAGTTGCAATACCATGTCATCAGATGTTAATGTTCCAGTCTTGTCAAAACAGCATATATCAACCTGTGGGAGTATAAAGATCAGATAATGTAGAAAAATACCATAAAATGAAAGTAAATTGCAAGTTTAAAGTACAAAATTTATATATTTGTTCCCTTCTTTATTTTATTTGATTGTATTAACTTTGAAATAACATTATAACACCAGAAAGAACATCAAGTACACTGCAAGTTGTGGGGAAATCCTATTAAATGCTACCAAAGAAGATAAAGTTCTAGGAACAACTAATTTTAAATGTAAATGTAGATAGTATAATCAGAATGAAATCAAGTAGAGTGCATTGGCCTAATATAATTGATGTTTTGAGTAACCAATAATCATCATCAGAAGTACACTTCAAATAAGCATTTATTCAACAGAAGTTAAGTGATGTAATTCATGCCTGCTTTTCCATATATTGTAAATTATTAAATTTCTGATACAGCTGGAAACATTTTATGCTCATGCAGAATGCAACAGATTGAAAGATAGACAATTACATGATTGTAAGAATTAGACTTGTGTATAACCAACACCGGATCTTGTCCACCTACATATCAAGGTTGGTTTGATCTTCATTTTAATGGACCATTAAGAATCTCATTACATCAGATAATCTGCGACATAGCAACAGCACTAATAAAAAGAAAAGCAATACTTTAGAGAGTCCACTGACATGAAAAAAATCCAGGAATGGAAGTATTCTATTCTTGCAAGTTGCAACTTGTTGAATAAAAGTAACCATGGCTCAATCCCCTGTATCATAATTATGACTTGGTTGGAATTTTGGTTAAACTAGTGGAGTCCAAGCCGTGATCTTAACTTTAAGCAAAATAAACCATATAAAAACTGAACACCAAACATGCAAATGACACTACAGAAATAAAACAAGAGAAATCTAAAAATGTATTGCAAAATCAAGCCAGAGCATGGTGGAAACAAGTTCCAGCCTAAGGAGAAAGCAACAAAATGATAAGAGAAGATAGCCTGAAAGAATTCAGAATTATGAGCAATATCAAACAAAGACTCCAAATTCAGTTAAATGACAAAAATTAGAATGAAACAAATACCACGCCATTACAATTATCTGTGGCAATAAAGTAAGCATACAATAGCTACTATCATACAAGATCATCCAAAAACTTTGCACTGCTCACCTTCCCAGCAAATGGAATTCGAAATGGTTCTGTACAGTATATCCCACAACGCGCTAGTGCAATTAATGATGTATTAACAGCTATTGATAGCTCCATTGGGAGTTCAGGTGGTATCACAGAAGTAATTATCAATGAACAACTCAAAAATAGCTTGTATTTGCTCCTCGTTGGGTCCTCTAGACCCTAGATCAGAACACATTTTGTTACTATAACCAACGTGAAATTATGAGCAAGTATGAAAGCTTAAACTAATAAAATACACAAAACATTACCTTCTTAAGAACATATCCAGAAGCTATTAAAGCAAATACTACAAGGAACAAAATAAAGAGTCCACTTTCCCAGCTGTTCGCAGTAACCTATATAACATATAAAGAAATTATGGACAGACATATTATAGATTAGCATAAAATCATTCACAAACAATATAAAAAAATTTACTCTCTCGGTAGAAAACAGTATAGTCCGCATCAGTTTCCCCTGACTCGTTTCAAATCCAGTTCGTAGAACAACTGCTATGCAGCCACCATCAGGGGTTTTCATATGAAATGTCTGTCTTGAGGAAAAACGAAATGTTAAAATTTGTCTCCAAATACCCATACGAAATGTAATGGAGGACAAAAATGACCTTATCCGGTGTGTGCTGCAATATCTTTGTACCACCAAAAAGAACATTTGCTTTGTCTCGCCTAGGTGACAGAATCTCTTCAATTCCTCTACCCATTACTGAAACCTGAAAAATGCTTGTTCTTTGAGAGGAGAATTTCAGATAAGAATAAAGCAAAGAATTGTTTCAAAAGGATGACCGTCTTCAAAGCTGTTCCAGATTAGACTCAGTTGCAGTTGCACTTTCTTCAACAAATAAGTTTTACAGGCATGCTTAAACAGTATGGCAAACACAGTGCATTCATAAACAGATTGGGATGGGGTTCAGTAGAGGTGAGATACCATGCTTAAAAAGCTATCAAGTCTCAGTGCAGATATAGAGAATCATTTTGTGGCACTAGTGATGAGTAAAGGGAGGCGACATTTTCTTGGAAGCCACTTGACTTGGCCGAAATCCATTTGAAATTAAGCCCCTGTTTGGCGAGGATTAAAATTAAATTTTTAGTAGATTTTTCATAAAAATTGATGAAATGTGTGGTTGAAAAGTTGTTGGATCCATGAAATGTGAGGTAAAAACTAATTATTGACTTAGACTTAGACATAGGTTTAAATCTAGATTTTAATTCCTACCAAACAAGGCATAAGAGATAATTCCAAAACCTTGAGCTTCAAAGCCTACTTTGTCTTCATATTCCTCCTATATGCAGAAAATAAGCAGCGCAGAAATCTAATCCAGGTCGTACACCTGGGATAAAGCTACTTGCTAATTTGCTGATGCATGCATTATACTTTGCCCCTGTTCGGGCTCCACTTTATTTCCATATGCATTTTTCTCTTTTTATTTTCAACCACACATTCTCCAATAAAATAATATTATACATAAATCCAAAACTTTTTTTTTTTTTTTTAATCACACATTCTCCAAAAAATTACTATTATAAAACACAATTTCCCCAAAAACTAATTTTAATGGAGCCCAAACAGGGGCCTTACATTTTTATGTTGGATCAAGAGAATAATCACAATTTGAAACCAACAAACTGAATATCAATTCTTCTCAGTTTATCCAGATGCAGGTATCTAAATCCAAGGATCCAATTAAAAATACCTCAAAAAACACAATCAAACAAAGAACATATCACATCAGTTTTTCCATATATAGGACACACGGGATTTATCATCAGACCAAGAATACAAGCTTCCCAATTCATGTGGATAATGATGGAAACTTATCCCAAAAGAAAAAAAGAAAGATATTGAATACCACCTTCCATTGAGGGGTTGACTCGTCAGTTAGAATAGCTTCATTAACGATAGCACTCCCAGCTAAAATAAGCATATCTGCAGGTACAGACTTGTTTTCTCCGCTCTGATCAGTAGAACGGCCAATTGAGACAACATCCCCAGGAAGAAGCTCAGTCCCTGACATCTTCACCCACCTAAATCCCAACTTTAAACAGTCAATGCAAAAAAATACAATCCTCCATAAAATAAAAACATGAAAAATCAAAATGAGAGATGATGTTTAAATCGCATTTTTGCATAACATACTTCCCACAACGATACACCATCAGTGTTCGGCTATCCACTTTTACACGTCTAAGCTCAGATAGGGTCTTCAAACGACTTTTTGCCATAGTAGACTCAAACATGAACAGCATGAATAGGGTGAAGAGACTGTAATACCAGTACTCATCTAAGCACCATAGCCCCACACAGAAGACCTAAATGTGACGTTCAGAGTTGAAGTATGAAGTTTAATGTACAAATAGATATAGAATTATAAATACAAAGACAAGTGTCAGTGTAAATCATATTTGGAAAAATGGGAATTGGAAACAAGCAAATCAGAATGACAACAAACCTGAAATACGAAAAATGGTTCCATGATTTGCTCTTTCAGTAATTTTGAGAATGTCGGCTGAGGATATTCAAATCTACATAATCAAGATCCATTAAGCGCCATCAATCCATAGGGAGAACAGATATGCCCTCAACAAAATAATTACTATAAACATAGATAACGCTAAATAATTATAATAAACATAGATTTTGTTTATTATACCGAGTAAAATAAGCAATTGTTACGATGAACATACGCAAATACAACTAACTTCGAAGTAATTCGATCGTGCATCACATCCACAGAGAAAAATTTGAAGTTTTTGATATCTAATATCTCCATGGTATCAAATGAAAATTTCTTCAAATCAACGTGATGGTCATCAACATTGAAATTGACCAAAAAAAGAGTGGTGAAACCTACACATTCCTTCCCCATTTCTCAGTAGCGGCAAAAACTTTAGTGTCAGTGCCATAACCAGTATTTTTGAGATAATACCCAATTTTTTCCTTTGAAGGATAAGGCAGTTTGCAAAAGGTATTTTTCTCTTTTGAATATATGAACCTTTGCTTCCTGAAATCAAAATAAATCTCTTCCACGTCTACTGAATTTGATGAACCTGCCAACTGAGGAAGAAAATAAGTTAAATTGAGTTAAAAATGTCGGCAACAATTACCACATTTTTATAGAAATTCATTTATTTTCATGAAGAGTATAGTTCGAGGAAAACTTTTAGCGGAAGTTGGAACCCCAAAACTTATAAAGGAAACATATAGTAATGATAAGATTGAAATTCTAGATACTATGGTGAAAATATAAGCAATATATTTATCATGAACAAAAGGAAAGTATATCTCTATTGCTGCAGATATTTGGCATATAAATATGTCAAAACCAGAATCTTCCGTTGGCTTTATTTTATTTATTTGTTTGTCTATTTATTGATAGAATTTCAGCCAATATTGCTTAAATTGTTCTCCAAGCTCTAGGAAACAGGCTCATGATGGAGAAGTTCTTAACTAAGTGCAGTCCTCACTTGAGCGAATAGATTATTGGGTCTGAGATGGAGACTGTATGCTTCACATTACCCTCACCCTAAACTGCTTAAGCACACGATTAGGCACCCTGGGGCGTATGCAAACAGGAGATGAGAAATATGAATGGTTGAACGGTCATCATTTTCTGTATTTTTGTCACGCTAGTATTCCAGTTTCTCGCTTCTACATTTTTTGGCCACTAGTACAAAATGAACAAGTACTTTCAATCAATGGAGTGTTGTTTTACTGCATCTCAAATAACATAAAACTTCAGATAGTATGTACATCAAGGCTGCAACCACACCCTCAGGCCTCAATGCCATAAGTATAAACAAACATCTCTTTTCTACATAGACGTACAAATATATGTGCTTACAACTGTGTGTAAATAGGAAAAATATGAAACCTATATTACACAATTGCAGTAGACTATTTGACGAACTTTTGTTCAACTATTGACATATTTACATAAATAGACATGGAAAAACAAAACTATTACTCAGTGTGACCTAAGAATGGAAAGTGCATGCAGAGAGACACAGAGAGAGAGAGAGATAACAAGTATGCAACCTTCCGAAAGTGAAGGGGCACAATTTCCTTAGAGCCAGAGAATTTTGCTGGAGTAACTTTGCATGTATCTGCATGGTGAATATCATTAACCTGCCAAAAAAGCAATCAAAATAGATTTAGTACATAATAAATTAGAAGCAGGCCCTATATGTTTTCAGCCAAAGATTAATAAGTAAAATCATTTTACACATGCACAAACACATTCAGAAAAAGAACATCAAATCATTAAGACATTAGACTGTTGTAATACTAATTAACGAGTATATTCTAAAGTGTCAGCTTTCATATAAGAAGCGCTCCAAGGAGTTGGAACATATCAGAAGCCCATTCTAAAAATGGAATGTCCTAAATTATTTGTCATTTAATTTCCTGCAGCATATAAGATTGTTTGCAGGCAGCAACATGTATTAGTGGGGTGTGCTTTGGGAGGCTCTCCTTGATAGGAAATTATGATGCTCAGTTCACTATTCAACTGTAAATTAGTGCATCACAATGCTTGTAAAACTATTAAAAATACTGTATCTTTGAACAATGTTAATGTTTACAGACACATAAAACATAAAATTTGATTAATAAATCCAGGAGTAAGGAAATATGAAAGAGAAAGTACAAAAAGGTTAACTACAAGATCTGGTCTAAGAATTGGAGAGATGAGAAAATGCATAAATAAATTATTGAATTGTATCAATCTTCAAACTGTGCAAGCAGAACTAAAAAAGACACCATAAGGGAGATGAGAAAATACATAAATTAACTATTGAACGTGATCAACTTTCAAACACTTAAATCGAATAATGACATTTTCTTAAAAACAAGAAAAAGGAATAACTTTTAATTGCACAATGACATAAAACTGCAAGAATAACAGTAAGAGAATGAAAATATTAGAAGTGATTAATTTTTGGGACAGTAATGTGAACCTTGGAGTATTGAACAAAGCATTTGAAGTCAACAGACCAAACGGTGAACAGGAAAATGAGAATGTGTAGAGCTACAAGGCCACCCAGTACTACAAAGGCATCCACAGCATCTGACCTAGGGACTATAGCTGCCAACCAGGCACCATACATAATAGCAAACGGCCACAAATCCAACCGCCATGCCCAGTGCCTCTTCCGCAAAAAATCGACACTGTCCACCACTTTCCCACCCATGTAGAACCTTGACATTTCACTTCTTCTGCTACTTATATTCCAATTCTTAGTAATTTCCTGGGTCGGGAGGAAAGAAAATTTTGAATCTGCTACACCTGTGGGGAAATAGGTGAGGAATTTTTTTCTCTTCAGTATATTGTTAGTAAAAGAAAAATATCACTCAGCATACATGAGAAGGACTTCAAATTTGTGAACCTTTTTTTTTTTTTTCATGATCTATTTACCTATAATAAGATACAGATAACTGAATTTCCTTTAAATTTACTTCAATTTCAGCAATGGAAATTCTAGCTTTGCAATCTTCCCAAGCGTTTATACTCTGTTAGAAAATCGTGAATTCAAAAGCAATCACATCTTTTTTCTCTCTTTATTGAGTTCAGAAAATACAAACCAATCACAAAAACAGAAAAGCATGAATAATTGGATCAGTTACTCTACTTTTGCCGGGAACCTGGGAAGTGGATCATTGCTAGGAAGGAATGGGACTTGGCCTGGACTACTCCATCTAATCATTATTCCAAACCCGCCCTGCAACCTCATTCCCATTCCTACCCAGGGGCCGGAGCCACCTGGGGCCTAGTGGCGGCAACTGCCCCCACTGGATCTTGGTCTTGGTTATTTCAACTGTTACACTTGAGGGGCAGCCAGGTTTCAAGGCAAGGAGAAAACCATAGACAAACGCATCAAAAATTCAAGAGAAATGTTGCCGAAAAAATCACTGTCGCCAGAGGTAGATTAACATCAAGAAACAACAATTACGGAAAAATAAATAAATTATAAGGAGTTGAGTTGAAATTAAATCATTGACAACAATTAGATCGAGTGTGATTTCAACATATAAAACCCCTTTATACACTAATAATAAAATCCAATACGACCTTCCAAGTTTGGTGATAAAGAAGTTGAGTAGAAATCACTACAGTACGAGATAAATTGGTGCCAAGGGGGTGATGAATATTTCTCCCAGTATGCCTCTCCTTCACACCAAATTGTTCCCAATTTTTAGTGAAATACTAGGAAGAAAACCATAGCCACCTGTCCCCTCTGCTCTATGACCAAGACTTGCCGAGGCATTACAAAAGATTTCCCAAAACGATGTCGTTATAAGTATAATAAATGGACCAAAATGGACCGGTTCCAACCGTACCCGGCCCGATGTCGGCGTATAGGCCCAAACATCTACAGCTCGCGAAGAATTGAGGAAGAGCGAGAAGTAAATTTCACCCAAAATCGAAGATTCAATCAATCATTCAATCCGATGGAGGTGCCGGGTTCATCAAAGAAGATGATAGCTACACGGGAAGAGATGGTGGTGGCCAAGGTGCCAATACCATACAGAGACCAATGCGCCCATTTGCTGATCCCACTGAACATGTGCAGGCAGGCCGAGTTCTATTTGCCCTGGAAGTGTGAGGCGGAGCGCCACACGTATGAGAAGTGCGAGTATGAGCTTGTCATGGAGAGAATGCTCCAGATGCAGAAGATCCGTGAGCAAGAAGCCAAAGTAAAAGGGTCTCATAGAGGCCAGTTGCCCATTCCGCTCATCCCTAAAACAGCCGATGCTTGACCATGAAAGGTGATTTCTTTAAGCCCTTGTTAAATCTAATTGCGGGTTCTATGAAATTAACAGCATGATGATGTATTTAAATCTGGTTATTATTTACATTGTTCGTTTACGTTATATTTTTCCTTATTGTGTTCTTGATTGATGGGTTTTCTTTATTTCTCAAGAAAATTTACGTTTTGCATAATCTGAATGGGAAGCTAGTGTGCGGAACCAATGTGCTTTATGAAGTCTTACCTACTCTTGACAAGATGGTTGAAGTATTTGAATAATCACTTATTCTTACTTTGAATTTTTTATTAATGGGGTTTGAGTTTTTGATTAGCGGCATTTTCTTTTTCTTATGAATATCTTTTTGAGATTATTGTTATGGGAAGAAACTCAATTATGCAGCTCAATCCACAACTGATCAACAATGGAGGCTACTTTAGCTGGATGACTGAATGTAGAATCAATTTTAAGAAGATAATAGAATTGAGAGGGAAAAATGAACGGACCGCGAAAGAGAGAATAATGGAATTCTTAACAATTATCACTGAAATCAGATTAAAGATGATTCTTTTTAGATGACATGGTTCAATTCATATAAGCAATAGATTAAAAAAAGGACTTATAACTGAATTGACAAAAAGTGTATTAACTATACTATTACACTTTGTTGTTACACTTTGTTGAGTGCAAATACAGTGAGTGATCGTAAATATGGTAAGTGTAAAAATGGTGAGTTGCAAGTACAGTATCGTCTTGTTTAAATGATAAACGGTGAGAGAGTGCAAATATGGTAGGCGCAGTCATGGTGAATTGCAAATACGGTATCTTCTGACTTAATGAAACAGCACCGTTCTAGAATTCAAATTATAGTTAATTGCCGTTATTCTCTCTTCCTCTTTTCTCTGGTTTTTCTTCTCCCACCTGGTTCTTCTTCCTCTTTTTCCCCATTGATTCCTTACATGACAAATATCTGAGTGTTTTTTTCATAATTTTTTACTTTGAGCTTATTGATGGGCTTCTCTTTTCTTTTTTTTTTTTAAATGAATTATCTGGGTAACTCATATAAGATTATTTTATGGATTTGAAGTAATGATTGATTTATTTCTTGTGTTTCTGTGGGTTTGATATCGAAGTTGCTTTTTTACATATCCATGTTTGCCTGTTTGCTAAGTTGTACGTAATTGTTCTAATTTGAATATTTTATTAATGAATATTTGTGAAATTGAGGGTTCACATACAAATTGATGCCTCGTGTGTATATGTACTAATATCTTTTATCAAATTTGTTTTGTTGATCTGTAGGTAAAGAAAATGTGTTATTTTATGTAAAATTATAAGCATTTTTTTTTTCTTTTTTCTTAGAATCTGTTAACAATAATGACAGTGAGTTCAAGTTCATCAATACTAGGATGCCGTCGGATAATTTCTGCTCAAGTTACCTGGTTTTGACTATATATTGTTAAACCATTTAGGTTATGGCTGATTTTTCAAATACAAGTGGTTTTCCATAAAAGTTCAACATTTTCTGATTACCTCTTCTTGTGGTTTCCCTCTTATTTTTAGTAGCCAATTAGAACTCATCTATACGATTGTTAATGCATTCTTATATAATAGTCACTGGGTTGATGATGTGATCATGACCATATGGAACTGTGTTGAACTAGGAGAAGACAATTTTTTTTTTATCATTTCCTTTCTTTTGTTTAAAATAGAACATTTTGCTAATTGAATCTATATTCTTTACTTATGTCTCCGTCAAAAAATCTTCAAACATCCGAGACTGATAAGCAAATGAGGTCAGTCGTTTGACCTTCCTAGTTAGATTGTGTACTCATTCTCATCCTGATGGACACACCAAGTTCTCATATATAGAGGAATGTTAATATTCTGATGTTATAGATTGTTTCGATGGTACTCTGGATCTTGATGCATTTTTTATTTATTAATTTGTGTTGAACAAGATACCTTTGAAATCTGAAGTTAAGATGATAAGCAAGAGAATTAAATTTATCTAAAATTTCTTTTATGTAGATTTGTTGCCTTCAGGGATTTTAGAGTTACTTGATAAATAAAAAGAGAATCGTGTCAGCAGTGGCACTGAGGTGAAATTTTGCTCAGGTTTATAAGTCAGTCAAATTCATTTGTAACTTTTAGTTTGGATATGCTCGCCTAAGTTTACAAGTTACTTTGTTTATTTCCAAACTCCATCTGCGCCTATGTGGGGGATTTGGCCTATACCGTAGCCATATATTAGTAATAAAAATCACACAAGGGAAGGGGATGCGACCTCGAACTTTGCCTCCAATCTTACAAACTGAGGATAATAAGAGCAATGCAAAAAATTAAACTTAGAGGTACTACTTAATTTTTTTTTTATTATTTTTTTAATAGATAATCAAATATTTTATTAATTAAAGGATAATACACAAGAAGCATATTATCAATTTAAACAAAAAAGAAACAACATGAAATTGGGTAGCCCGTCTATATGACTAGTATAAGCAGCATTAAAACAAGTAAACAATGTCAAATGAAATAATCATCTAATCTGCTCTATTATCCGTGTATAATTATCAAAACAGCAATTGCTTCTTTCTCTCCACATACACTGTATGACGTAACCCAGAATAAGGTCCCAAACAAGCTTATTGTCTTGATTACGCAATTTCTCATGCATGCTTGTAACATATCTTTCATATGCCTTGACAACACCCAATCGATGTGTTGAGAAGTCGAAAATCGTTTCACAGCAAATGAGCACCTTCAAAGTGAAGAAACAAGTGGTCAATCGTCTCCCTATCTTTCCTGCACATATAACACCACCCTATAACATAAAATCCCCTTATTCGAATATTTTTAACCGTTAACATCTATCCCTTCACAACCATTCATGGTAAAAATGCCACTCATGGAGGCAGCTAACATTGCCATACCATTTTCTAGGGAAATGAACTCTCAACAAGTCCCAATAAAAATTCTAAAATAATAGCCAACTGAGAAAATACCTCTCAAGCCGACCTCCACTTGCTACAATTTCCCTTTCCTACCTTGATGTACACCCCATACAAAGAGGTCAAAAGTAGTGCATAATTATCCTATTCCCTGTCTTGCAAACCATTCGCAAAAAACAATGTTTCAGCTAAGACTCCCTTTATATATATCTAGGACATCGTTCACTATAATAGACGACACTAAAGCAATAAGATAAAAAGAAAATAATCCCACCCTTTGTAATTGATTTCCACACCAACAATCATCCCAAAAACTGATAATATTACCATTTCCCATCAAAAAAGTTTATCTATCCCGAAAGTCTCCACCCTTGACTGATATACGGCCACAAACTTACCTCATAAGAACCACAACTTTCGACTAAGCAACATCCCCTATTTCGCTACTATAATTTCTCTCCAGAATCTCTCTCTCCCCCCACTCCGAATGACTACTTACCTAACAAGACCTTATTAAACAATAAAAGACTCCTCAATCTGAGACTCTCCAACCTTATGGGAGAACAAACTGTACCCAATTAACGAAATGAAGTTTCCTCTCCACTTCTAACCCTTACCAAAGAAACTCCCTTTGAAGCCTCATTAATCTTTTGCCATTGCAACAAGAGTAGGAAACAATGACAAGAAATAAATAGGGAGATTCGATAGAGTGGACATAATGAGAGTGAGACGGCCTTTGAGAGATACACACGTTTCCAATCTGCTACCCTCCTCTCCATCCTTTCAACAATACTGTTCCAAATATATATACTTTTAAATCGTGCTCCTGAGGGAAAGCCAAGATATGACATAAGCAACTGCTCAATCCTAAAATCTAATATAGCAGCAACTCCACGTTATTGACCTCTTCCACTGTGATAGCCTCAGATTTCTCCAAATATATCTTCAATACAATTACAGCTTCAAAGCACAGAAGCAGACGACGCAAGTTCCTGAATTACTTAACATCTGCATCACAAAAGATTAGCGTATCATCTGCAAATAACAAATAAGATGTCTGCAATTTATCAATCATAAACTCTCTTAACAAACTCCTCCACAGCCTTCTCAAGCATCCAACTGAAAGTCTCCAGAACAATAACAAACAACAATGGAGATAAAGGATCTCCTTGCCTCAGACCTCTGCTACTTCGAAAATAACCTTAAGGAGTACCATTTACCAAAATTGAAAAGGAAATAGTAGAGATACAAAACTGAATCCACGACATCACTTATCCCTGAAGCCACATCGCTTGACCATATATAAAAAGAATCTCCAATTCACGTGATCATAGGCTTTCTGAATATGAAGCTTACGTTACATCCCTGTAACCCCAAGTCAGTCTTAAGTCAATGCATTCATTTACTATAAGTATGAAATTCAGTATCTGGCGCTCTTTGACAAAAGCATTCTAAAACTTAGATACCACTTTTCCAACACATCGGTTAATCTATTTGGCAGAATCTGTGCAATAATCTTGCACATTCCACTTGCTAAACTAATAGGAAGAAAGTTCTTAATATTTGTTGCTGCCGGTTTATTTGGAATCGGCACAATAAATATAGCATTAAAACTTCTCAAGAACCCACTACACTGAAAGAAATAAGGACATCTACAATGTCCGGTCGCACCACTTAGAAGGTACTACTTATATCACAAGAGTTCATGGAAATGTTTTTTTTTTTTTTTTTTTTTTTTTTTTTTTTTTTTTTTTATGATTCATTACCATTCTACTTCTGAACATAGGGGAGCTGAAATTGATCCAACCTCAACAGCGTAAGAAGATATCCCATCACATTCTTAGGAGTAAAATTGTGATTTCATCACTATTAATCCCTTCACGAGCACGAAATCAACCACGGCATTACACTCTTGATAAATATGTGAGACTTTTGTACAAACTCTAGGCAGAAGGCATTTAATTTATTCTACTACAGATTGTATATTCTGAGGCCAGTGCCTACTGGTGGTGGCCAATTTTATTGCTAACATGGAATCTAATTCAAACTAGACCTTCTTTAAGCCTGACTGGGATCAGAGTTTAAGTTATTGCATAAATGCTCTCAATTCTGTTTCCAAATTGGTTTACTGTCCAAAAGGTCAAAGAAAACAGTACTGATATATCTTCACTATCTCATAGACTTCCTCCTCCGGATCCAAGACATGGATGACTGTTTTTGCATCCATCAGTGTTAAGTTTGAGAGATTACATCTCTGGTTTTACCCATTTCACCTGGATTGCTTATGCTGGGGTCGTCTTCTGGAAATTGGTGCCCTTATCATGTGCAATGTGAATGTCATTTATAGTGTTCCCCGAAGAGTATAGCTTGGCTTTGGAAAGCATAGGAATAATGTTATCAATCCAATCCTCCAAATAGTATGGCCTAACTCCATAGCTTTATGTTTAGGCTTCACATGATTCCACTCAATCCAAAGAAACCAAAAGATGAAATTAGGGAATAAGGTATGAATATGGCCCAGTTTAAAACTGTGAACCCAATTTTGCAGCAAGTCAGATGCATCGAGTTAACAGTTACTTATTTTAAGTGAAAAATATTCCTTATTTTGATAGTATGTGAGGGGCTATACTGTCAAAACAAGTTAATTATTAATGACTTAAATAACAGTACCAAAATCCATATTCCTAAATTCAAATATTTCTAAATCATAAGAAAATAAATTCATAGATTAGTTATTCTAAAGCTTATTATTCAAATAATAGTTGATAGTATGTTCAAAATTATGAAAACAGTAAGTACTCTAATTAACCGCCTGTCTGGAGCTGCTTCTTCAATGACTTTTAAGCAAAAAAAGAGCCGTTACCACCAATTATGGGTCTCACTTGAGAGATGGGAAGTCAAAAATGATGCCATGATTGAAAAATAACGGTCAGAAAATAAATTTTTTGACAATAAAAGTCCATCCCAATAGAAGTATGTTGCAAACTTTGATAATATAATTTGAATAAAGTTTCTAGAATATTAGCTTTATATTAGTTTATTGAATAACATAAATATTACAACCAATAACAGGTTATTTAAATAATAAAAAAGGTTAAATTGCAATCAGCATAGCAAGCACGAGGTGTCGAACATTATCTTCATAATAAGCTTTAGGAAATGCATTCCCTCTTGAGATCATCTTAAATCAGAGTCATCAGTCAAGTCTGAATGTGAAGAATTGAGAGTAATCCGTTGGAGTGAATTTATTTTGGTATGTGTTTTTATTTGTGGTGTGTGTTTAACACCAGACTTATGTTTGTATATATTATATTGGGAAAATTGCAGCAACGGTCCCTAATCTTTTCATTTTTTGCATACTTTACCCTAACCTTCATTTTGTACCAGCGAAAATCACTAACCTTTCATAAATATGCACCCGAGGTCCATTTGAACGGAAATCATCCAAAACACTATCAGTTGATCTGGGAAAATTCCTTGAATTATCTGCTACCACGACGGTTTTATTGGATGTTGATACCTTTTTGGACAGTTTTATTGGATGTTGATTCCTTAATTTTCCTAGTCAATTGGTAGTGTTTTGGATGGTTTTCATTCAGGTGGATCTCGGGTGCATATTTATGAAAGGTTAGGAATATCCCTTGGTACAAAATGAAGGTTAGGGTAAAGTCTGCAAAAAATAAAAAGGTTAGGGACCACTACTGCAATTTGCCCTATCATATATACACAGACGGCACAAACTAGATTATCAAATCATCTCTTTGGTCTTATTCTGGCATTGCATTTGTATATGAAGTCTACTTCAGACTTTACAGAGCATTTTTGGGCCAATTTTAGATGCATAAAGTCTTAATGTCGTACCTCGAAAGACCCCTTTTGTATGTCTCTAGTCCTTTAATCTGGCCTTCACACTTTGTCCAAAACACCTCAAATGATCTGTGAGTTTCCCGCCTTCCAGTTTAAGACTCTTGTTGATGTTATGTTTCAAAGAACTTCCATCAATTTCCTGAGTCAAAAGACCATGTCTGACCTTAGAAACTCTTTCTCTTTCTGTTTTGATAATAAACATAACTTCATCAGTTATTGAAGCATATCTTTAACTGTCAAGTGGATAATAAATCTCCATCTTCAAATAGATTTGGTAAAGTCAAGAACAAATACATTTGCCAACTATGGATAATTAAGTAGAAATGAATGCCTTTAAACTAGTTATCCATAGAAATCCACAATGGCAGTTGAAACTCAGAACTGTCTCGTAACTCTAGTCTCCCTCTCTTCTGCTTCCAAACTCCAAATTTAGCCAAAAAAATTCTGGATTTACAGTCCTTTAGCAATATTAATTCTTGGTTAACATGTACATGTGACCAACCAAATCGTGATTAATGGAAATTCCCATGAATCTTCTTATTTCTTGCTACACATTACCTTGTTATTTATTCCTTTCACCATACGCTACCGATTGGATGAAAGCCATGATTGTGTGTCAGACATGCTGATCCGTTCATACGAGCTGTGTGCTTCATAGTAACTTTTTCTTTCAGTCAGTAAGGGTATCTTAATACGGTATAGAATTGGTTTGGGAGGTTAGATATCTGGGGGCTGTCAGTTTGCATGTTCAGCATTGGGACACTGCCATGTACTGTATATAAACGAGTGGTCGGTTTATGCCTTGTATTGAGTGAAAAGCTTTCTGAGGGAAGCGAATTGATTAAACCTAAATAGAGAGCTTTAGCTTTTAAAGTTTCATATCCTGAATAAGAAAAAACCTTAGGCCTCTGATCGAAGAGATGATGCCTCACTCATTTACCTGTAGAATCTGTCTCTTTCCTTCGTGGCATGACAAGGCTATATAATACATCCTCTTTATGGGGGACTCAAGTGCACTAGAGACTAAGCTCATTTAGCTTAGCTTCACTCTTCAGAATATTTTTTATATGTTATCATCTATGTTACCATATTAGGTGCTCATCTGTATGGATACTGTACATGTACTATCCTTATAAGCGATTTGGGTTTGCTTAATTATTGCAAAGGTCAATTTTCACATCGTGTTGTGCTTTAATTTTCTGCCTATCTTCTTACTAATTATATTTTGGTTATTGGCATCTTCATCCTTCAAATGAGAGCCCTGCTAGAAGTAGTTATAAAAATAAAAACAGTTTTAAGAAGTAACATATCTGGCTTGCTTTCATTACATGTTAGAAAGAGCAATGAATTTATAGAATGATATTGTTCAAGACAGTGCTTCCTCTTTGTCAAGTACCAAAAATAATCTAGTGACTTTATCTATGAGAGATTTTGCTGCCCTTCTCCATGGATTAGCTTTATGTAAAAAAAAATTGAACTTGATATCCTGAGTACTTCAGAATTATGGTTCTGGAAACCAAGTCCAGGTAGTTCTGACGTGTATCAATTTCAGTTTCTGATTATTCATTTATCCACATGAATCTAGAAACCTGGCATGTATCTGCGTTGGTAATCCTACATATCTTTGAGCTATTGAGGACTTGAAACTTGAGAAGCTAGCAAGTTGGCTCTTCTATGTTTAAACATTCTGTACAAATGTAGTTACAACAGCTAAGGAAATTTTGCTGCTATCATTAATATAATATACTTGCCGATAATTTTCGCCAGTAGCTGTTCACAGGCTTTCTTATTTCCTTTATTGAAGTACTCGCTGTTTCTTTTCTCTCCAGGAAGAAGCGAAACTGTGGGCAGTGGCAGTCATGGAGTACTTATTTTGAAATTGTTTTGGTGTTATTTAAACATGATACTAAACTGCAATGTCTTTCATCTAGTAATCTAGTTCCAAATAAATACTACGTCTGACATGGTGATTGTCCATCTGACGTCTGTTTTACAATGTTTATTCTAAAAAAACGTCTTGGTGTTTTGATCCTTCATCGGTGATTACTAGTTCGAATTTAATGGGAGTTTATTATCTTAACTTTGTGAAGCCTAGATAATGTCATACTTACAGATTCTACTTGTAGAAAATTGACTTCTGTTTTGGCAAAAGCCAAGCAGAATCATACTATCGCATGCATGTTCTTCTAACCCAGAAAGCAACTTGTTTAGAACTACATATATTCTTTTTTTCCTTTCTTTTTTCAGAAATGTTTTATTTTGAGAATCATTTGCTTACAGTATGTAACCATTTTAAAACGAAATTTGCTTCCATACTAGTTCCAAGTATTTTTGTCCATAGTAACAACAAATGGGCTGCTTGATGATCTTAAAAAGCCAAATAACATTATAAGTCATCTCATTCTTGTCTCTGAAGATGTAATTTGTTTAAGACTTTAAACGAGAAAGAACTTTAGAGCACCCTTGGGGTAATGTGCCAGGTGTTGTAGTTAATCGAGTAGCTTTAGAACGTAAAAGCTCGTAATGAAAGACCTGATCTTTCTCATAAAAGTAATTATTTGATAGGCTAGCAAATGGAGTTCTGAACTTGCTGTTGCGAGGCATGGAAAGTGATCAAATTTGAGTTTAAAGCAGTAAATCCTTTAGATACTCTTAAGTAAAATAACAAGTAATTATCCTCCGTTCTCTTAATTGAAAGCTCGGCCCATACTTTAAGTACTTGTGCTTTGAATTTTGCATAATTCGACTTCATCTTCATCAGCATGGGTACTTCACACCACTCAAGGGTACAATGTATTGTGATCTTTTAAGGTGTAGTTCTGAATTTGAGATTGAAATTGCAAGATGTAGTTCTGAAAATCGAAAGATTGTTGCAACAACAATAAATGTGAAAGATTTAGTTTGTTGAATTCTCTAACGTCTACTTCAAGCTTTACACACAATGAATAAGGATATATCAGGAAATCATCCAGCGCTCGAATTATTTTCTTGTTACTTCTTCGTATAAATTTTAAGTTACCTTTACATTCATATATGTTCACCCACTGCATTATATTTATTTTAACCTCAAAAGTTCGGCAATTTAATTTGGAAAAGATTTTTCAGTTTGCATAAATTTAGGATCGTCATATTGATTTTAAGCTTGGCCTTGAATGATTTTTTATTTTTAATTTCTTTATTCCCCAAATGAGACTAATTGACATGGTAAAATTTTACTCTTGCCACCTCATTGTTAATTTAACAACTCTGCATTGGGAAAACCCACTGAAAAGTTTTTGGGACTTTCTGAAGAATCCATGAGAATGGAGACAAAGCTAGCCTATATGATTTGCCTTGGTAGTGTAAATATAGCACAAGTCCTCCTACTTTTGGTAAAATTCAATTTCTCTTTCTAAGATTTTATTCATTTCTTTCTAATACAAATATTTTCCTTTCATGATTTTAGTACAAAGACTTTCCTCTTTTTTCCCTTATTTGCTTGTACAAACTACAAATTCCTTTTCATTGTGCAAATTTTAGCTTGCATGATTTCCTTTTTCATCCTTCCTTTACTTTATTTTTATTATTTGTAAAGTAGATTAAAGAAATTAATTTAAGTCAAATTGAGGCTTCGTCCGATTTAGAATTTTTCAGAATAAATTTTTGGAGGATTTGTGATTAAAAAGTTAAAATATATATAGGTGTATATAAGGATGTCAAACGGGCCGAGTGGCCGAGCCCGAGCCCGAGCCGAGCAGGGGGCTCGATCCCATGAGTCGAGCCTGCTCGGCTCGTCGAGCCCACGAGCCATTTTGACGAGTCCACGAGCTTGGCTCGTGGGCAAGATCAAAAAATTGAAATTTTTTTAAAAAATGTGCCAAAAAAACTTAAAAAAACACGAGCTCGTGGGCCGAGCCGAGCTAGCTCACGAGCAACGAGCCGAGTTCGAGCTCGGCTCATGAATTAAAGGGTCGAGACGTCTCGATTCGACTCGACCCATTGTCATCCTTAGGTGTATAGGTAAAAATAATTTTTTGAAGAACAGGAGATTGACATACATTCTAGAACATACAGTTTCGTCTTCATTTGTGTCTATCGAACTAACCATTTGACTTTTCAAATCAAGCGAATATAATTGAGTGGTGACAATGACTTGTAGGTAATAAAAATATTGTGCTGTACATTCTGATTTGATTTTTCTATGATTATTATCTGTTATGTCAAAAATAATTATTGTACTATTTACTATTTCAACAGTTTCTCAGTGCTATGTAAATTTGATTTGTTTTGTTTATCCTAGTTTCAATAATTTGGACTTTGTCTAGAGTAGTTGGAATTGGAAAAGACTTTCTATTTTCCACACAGCATTCAATTTAATAGACGGTCCAATAATTTCAAATTCCAAGAGCATGTGTAGCAAGTTTCCTATATTAAACAAGACAAAGAAAGTTACATTAAAAAAAAAAAATCTTATGTTGACTCGTAATCCATTCCAATCTAACATTACGACGTTGACCACATGAAATCAAGAACTCTTGAACACACTAAAATAGCAACACTACTAATGTAGTATAGCCAAGACCTAAACCTACTTTAAGGAAACTAATGTTTAGTAAACTAACCACCCAAAATAGTTGGTAATCGAACACTTACCTAAGACCATGCAAGAATATATCAGACAAGCCTAAACATTGGGTATAGAAACAATGATAGTCGATCGAAATATAATGTATAGAAATTAAGAGCTGAATTCAAAATCCTTCTCTACAAGATCAAGCACCACATAGAGCAATAGAGAGGTCTAGATTAACATTGTGATTTTGCGAAGAAGCCGAGGGTCGATTAGTGTTCAAACTACTGGTGTAGGTCGACGATACTGCCTCACTCATGATTTCGCTTGTGGAAGAACCATTACTTTTATGCAATGAGAGCGACAATGACAATTCACAACCCTTAGTTTCGTCACCTGCAGTGTGAATATGGCATGAGCTCTCGAGTTTCCTTTGCTTGAATGATTCACATTTTTCCTTCTCTTGGTTCGGAATCACCTATCAAACAATAAAAGGCGCTAGTCGATCGTATATCTCGAGTGTGTACGAATCATAACTTTGTCTAATTCTATTTTGTCCAGAATACTAAAAGAACAAGAATTAATTTATCAAACCAAATTGAGCATATTCTTAAAATAAGGTGGCCCATTTCTATTAAGTCACTGTCCCCAAATTTGTACACACTATTCCACTGCATTAAATGTCTCATTATGAATTCTAAAAATTCCCCCCAAGAAACAATCCCACAGTTCAACTTGTGAGATATTACTATGTACTACTGCACATAACCTAGGTGACCCCCCCCCCCATGTAAACCATTGGATCGTTGAATGTGGACGCACGTACTATTGCGCGTGCCACATGCAATTATCCAATGACAGCAGAGTGATGTACACACGTGCCAAACAAGTAAAATAAAAAAGATTTTAGCTCAAATATTAAATTCACAGATACAATTTCAATGGACTCAAAACTGCATTGTTTACAAGTCAAACCATGAAAAGTTTCAACAAAGAATTGTTAGTCAAATAACACTTGGAAAAGATTGTGTACAAAGATTAAATTCTACATTCATACACAAGAATTGTAATCCTACTTTTTTCTTTAGGCGGCCTTTGCATTAAAAAGGGTAGAATTATTGAAAGAATTTATTTAGGGCATAAGATTTCAAACCTCACTGCCACAATTTTCAATCATTTCTCACCAACTTTTACAACTTTTGGGGGTAAGCATGTGTTGGTTTATAATATTCTAAAGTATTTGAAAACATGGCTTCTTGTTCCAAGAAGAAACTTATTCCGTGCTTCCATCTTGAGTCATTTGATTGTACAAAGAATAATCCTATGCAGTTCCACTGGGTTGCAGTCAAGGCTAGATACTAGGCTAAATGAAAGGTGACCTATCATTTAATGCCACTTAGACTACGATTGTAATTTGGGTAGGACTAAGTAGCATTAAGTTGACTAATTAGAAGAGTGAGAATAAGAATTTTATTTTCCAAAAATGCATGGAATAGAGAGAGAGAGTTACACACAATCCTCAACTAAAAAGCTGTGCAAAAAAAAGGTTTTGAGAGATAATGGAAGAGGTAAAAAAAGGGAAAAGTGCAGTTATTGTACCTTGAAAAACTCAGATTCTACTAGTGAACCTTCAGTGGCTAAAGAATTGAGGTTGTGTAAGAAATCAGTGCACATCGGAGGTGTTTCTTGAACCTGCCATTTGAATTTACTCTCTCCTTTGACACCTTTCTCAGCCCTAGTCTGCATGTAATCATCATCACAATACGGATTTGCGACTGACTCACTTATTCTTTGCTTCTCTGAGAAAGAATTAATCTCCTCGATTCGAGCTCTGACCAGAATATAAGAAAGCAAAAAGAGTATCAGGATTGCTCATGCATAAAATAGATAGTTTTTAAAAGATAAAAGCACAAGACAGGTAGATTTGCATGCAAATCCTTTTTGTTTCTGGCTACAACCATTTTTGAGAAGTGAGCCCAACTGCCCAAGGCTGAGGCTGTAAAATCTTAACAAAAAAAAAAAGCTCACCTTTTTACAGGAAGAGGAGAATAATAAATGAACTTTGAATCTGATCTTTCTAAGGGATTTTCTTGTTCAACACATCCTTCTTGATGATCTTCTTCAAGAAACTTTTTCTTTTGCTGTGTACTGCTGCTTCTGTCTACATTTGAATAAAAAAAGTATCTGGTCAAATGATTTGGGAATCTGTAGAACGGCAGTCTTCATTAGAAATGCCAATATTAGAAGATTTTGAAGTAAGTGTGGGTTCATTCTCATGCTTATGGGAAGCAACTTTATCGGGAAATAAGTAATAAATGAAGGGAGATATTCACTCATTTCTAAATCTAAAAGATATCAAAAGATACTATCATCAACATTAATCATCATTAGTTCCCAAACTGCCTCATAAAAATCTATAACCAATGAAAGTCTTTGGTACCATATTAAAACTGTGTCTTTGTGGGATTTTTACCTTGACAAAATCCATCAAAGTTAAATGGTTGAGCGTAGAAGAGAAAAGACAAGGAATATGTACCTTGTTTGCTCATATCAGACTTCATGCCTCTGTACATCTGTTCAACAACAAAGAGAGACAAACCCAGAAATGAAGAAAACCCAAAATGGCGAGAAAAAAAAGTGTAAAATTGAAGATAAACCAACCTGTAGATGACTTTTAACATGAGAAATGGTGAGTCCTCTAACATCCATCAACTGAAGAACAAGCTTTGGAGTTGCCTCTGCGGCATCAGAAGAAACAAGAATCAAGTCAAGAGACCAAATAATAACTTTCTAACATTAGCACGTGAATCCTCTAACATGCAGAGTCGCAGATACATGCACATGGGTTCACAAGAAAAAGGCACACCATGATCAAGGACAATCAGTTGAAAAAAAAATCAAAGACCTGAATAAAAGAACAAAACTTGACAAAAATCCCTGCTAGAATATAAACAAAAAAAGCCAAAAAAAACTTACTGTCCTGGCCTCCAAGCCTCTCTATGGCATGAACAAAACACTGATGAAGATCAGGAGTCCATCTTAATCTAGGCACCCTTGATCTTATGTATTGCCTCACCCCGCTGTTCCTTCCACAACTACCCATCCTTCAATCTTCGTTACAAAAACAAAGAAAAAATAAATAAAATCCCCGAGGGTCTTCTCGAAATAAAGAACTTTTGAGGGGTTTTCTATATAGAGCTTCAAGAACAAGAACCCCTTATGTTGAGCTTTGAAAAGAATACCCTTTTTAGGCAAAACCCGTTACAAATGTTGAGGTTTATAGCTACAGCATATATAGGCTATGAAGACAAAAAAGAAAAGGAAGAGAGAGAGACGAAGATGAAGAGGGTGTCTGCAAATTCCTCAAGAGGTACTGATGGATATAGCTATGGGTACTGTTGTGTTTCTTATTTGTAATGCTGCAAAAGAGAAAAAGAAATATCTGGTCCACGAGGTTCTAATCTTCACCTGTAACCCCAAAATGATTACCATTACAAATACCCAACTGTATGCTGAGCCATTCCTGCAGCTGCTTTGACTATTCCCCTTTCTCTCTCTAGAATCTTGTGAACACGCTAACGTCGTCATGATCATAAAATGCCCAGGAGTATGTACATTTCATTAAATATATTTGCCAACAGTACTGTCATCGAAACCTTTGTGTAATTATTACTTTTGTTTAATTTGATAAGTTATTTCTTTTCTTAATTAATTTTATAAGGTAGAAAAGTCGGTCAATAGCATTTTTATTTTTATTTTTAATTTTAACAAATGAAATGACAATCTTTTGACACCACATGACATCGTAGTATTTGACAGTCGAAAAAATAAACAATTATTTCACCAATCAAATATTGTGAACTCGAATTATATCAAAGATGATGTGCACTTTTGGCGCTTGTTTTAGTCTAATTCTTTTGAAAAAATATATTTTTCAATAGTATTTTGACATAATTTTAACAAGATATTTTTCAATAAAATAATATTACATGCAAATTAAAAAAATTTCCTTATTTTTTAACCACAAATTTCCCATCAATACACTATTTAAAAATTCATTCTTTCTTCCAAATTAGGGCTCAAACGAGGGCTTGGTGTACAAATGGCTTTTTCATTTTCCCACTAATTTAACCATGTCATCACTGATCATATTGCTAAATATTGACCCCCGGGCATAGCCTAGTGGTACAAAGGACGGGAGTAATGTTATCTCACGCCTTACTGGCAGTCGCAGTATGGGGGTTTGATTCCTGAAACATGAAATTGGACTCCTTGTAGGCGAAGTGTACAGGCAGCTCTTGTTCCCTGACTTGTTAGGGCACATCTCGCGATTTACCTCGCTCACAAAGCTCTAGGAACGGGACGGTGAGGTCCTCAAGGTTGGGGTTCAACCTTTATATTGCTAAATATCATTCAAATCACAATTTTGATTGTTCCTCTATCTTATGGTTTATTATTATTTGGGTAGGTCTATAACTACCACCATTGAATTATAATGCACGATATAAAAATGAATCATACTCCATCTTGACGACTCTAGGAATGATAATTTGGTGCCAGCTTGAGTTACTTTTGGGCATACAATTGGTCAAAATTGGTTGTCAGCCATTTTGGCCCGTGAACAGGGCCACTTGCAGCAGCTTATGGGCAATGTGTGAAAAAGCAAGTAGCTATAGTTGCTTGTTTACATAAGCAGACACAGTCGTAGCTGCCTGTGTTCCCGGGCCAAGCCTTATTTTTGGGCATACGATTGATCAAAATTGCCTATGAGCCATTTTGGCCAATGAACATGGGCCACTTGCAGGCAGCTTGTGTGTAGTGTGTACAAAAGCAAACGCTCAACCTTTATATTAAGCATTCTTCGTCCTTACAATGTATCTGTAGAATGCATGAGTGCTCCCTTTCCACGATAAATCTGTTGAAATCTACTTAACATGCACAGCGAAAAATTAAAACATATTTCGATTTTCACTAAGAATCACCTTTGTATTTAGATAGAAATTGTGATAAGATTGTACCTTTTCCAAATCTGCAAACTTCTTTGCTATTCTTTTCGTTCTAACAATCTTGATTCGCCACCCATAGCTGTCCAATTGTCCAGCCTCCAATGGTGATCTATATAGAGAACAAGATTGCGCTGCCAGTGTTTTCTCCTCTTGTGCTAGCAAGAATAATTATGAGAAAAACTTATGGATTGAAAACCCTAACCATGTATTTATATAAGCCCAAACGGGTCTGGTCCGGTCCGGTCCAGTCCAATATTTAATTAATCAATTTAATTAAATCTGGTCCGTGAATTAATTAATCCGGACCTATAAATAACCAACCCAATTAATTAATTAATCCAATAATTGTTAAATTAATTAATTGACAAATTGCAATCTTCCAATTCTCCTTTGTGTGCGACCCATCAGGTTCCCGATCACGATGTCTAACGACGTGAAATATTATTTTGATCTAATCAAATTTGATAAATTAAAACATCCTTTTAATTTATCATCAATTCACACTCGCCGTCCCAAATTGACATCCAACAATGTGTCAGAGCAATACGTGTGACGGGAAATGTCACGTGGTATGACAAAATCAAACTCGTTCGTTTACCGTGAAATTATAATCCCTTCGTCAACATGATCCGATCAATTACGAGATATGAAAGTGTATCAATCTCGATTATCGATCATATCTTTCACTCCACTATTAAGTCAATATAAGTCGAAAACTTCTTTTCGACTTATGAGTACACCTTGGCCAAGGATTTCGTTATCAACTTAATTGAATGAAACGCAGATCATAATCTCTAACTATCTAAGAGTGACGAATCCTTTATTTGTCAATCACAACCTTCATACGATTCTTGACGTACCCGAACGATGTCGTATTAGCGGCCCTTTGCAGAGCAACATCCAATACCGTCAAAGTATGACTGTCCTCATATAAGGTACCATGACGACCTCAAGTCAAAGGACCAATTCCACTACCGAACGTTAGAGATTAACCACT